CAAGTGACACCAAAAAGAAATAAAGATGTACTAGAGGAATGCAGGACAAGTACCCACTGGGTCCAGACAACAGAGAAGGCAGGAGCGAGGGGCAGACTCCTAAGGAGGTGGCAGCTACCCAGCTACAGCTGCTCTGCTAATGCTGTTACCAGATCTTCCAGAAACAATGCAGGACTTGGAGACACAGGTATGACATTTTTCCACTTTAAATTCAAGGTACAGTGCAAGTGAAGCACACCAACAGCCCAGGAAAAACGAAAGCTGCTATGAGGTTAAAATGCATCCAAGATTTGAAATTAGGATTGAAATTAAGAAATACAGATAAAATGTCTTTAGCCCTTCCTGGACTTTCTACTCTCACAATGTAAAGCTTTGGCTCATCGTATTACTGGCGGCATTGTACAGATGTAAAGAGGATGCACATTTGAAAGGCTTCGACTCTTCAATTGTGGGCTCCTGGCAGGTAAGGAGCTGGTACCCATCTTGGAATCCCTGCAAACTACTGTGGCTGAGAGCCTAGCACAGTGCTTAATAATTTTGGTTGCTGACTCTAATATTTTATGGTTCACTAGATTTCCTCAAAAGATGGCAGAAAACACCTTTCCTGTACAGGGGAAATGTGCTCTATATGACCCACAAAATAAAACACAATAAAACCTATAACCAAGACTTAAGATCCCCTGTGGCTGATGCATGAGATCTTCAGCAGCAATCTGACAAATATATATATGTCCATGCCTTTCTCCCTAGAAACAGCTCCTGGCAAAGGTACACACCTGGTGCCTTTCACATTCCTGTCATAATAATCTCTGTATACTTTGTTACATGCACACTCTGTATATACTTGGCTATAAAAAATATACACACTCTATACACATCTATATACTCTGTTATACACATCTATATACTCTGTTATAAAAAATATACACACTCTCTACTCTGCTATAAAAAACATATACACTCTCTATATACTCCATAATGAAATATATACACACTTGCTATACACTCTGTTATAAAAAATAGGCCGAGCACAGTGGCTCACGCCTGTAATCCCAGCATTTTGGGAGGCCAAGGCAGGCGGATCGCGAGGTCAAGAGATCGAGACCATCCTGGCCATGGTGAAACCGTCTCTACAAAAAATACAAAAATTAGCTGGGTGTGGTGGCACGTGCCTGTGGTCCCAGCTACTCAGGAGGCTGAGGCAAAAGAATCGCTTGAACCCAGGCAGAGGTTGCAGTGAGTCGAGATTGTGCCACTGCACTCCAGCCTGGTGACAGAGTAAGACTCCGCCTCAAATAAATAAATAAAATAAAATAAACTCACTCTAATTGTACTCTTACAAAAATGTGCACACTCTATTTCTACTGTGTTATAAAAAATATACACACTCTGTACTGTTATAAAAATATACACACTCACAAAACACTCTGCTATAAAAAAATCCACTCCCTATTCGTCCTCTGTTATAAAAAATATACACACTCACAAAATACTCTGTTATAAAAAATATACACTTTCTATTTGTACTCTGTTACAAAAAATATACACACGCTATTTGCAGTCTGTTATAAAAAATATACACTTTCTAGTTGTACTCTGTTATGGAAACTATACACTCTTTAAATACTCTGTTATAAAAAATACACAGACTCTCAAAATACTCTGTTATAAAAAATATACACAACCTATATGTACTCTGCTATTAGAAATATACACACTCTATTTGTACTGTTATAAAAAATATACAAACTCTCCAAATACTCTATTATAAAAAACACACACACTCTATTTGTACTCCATTATAAAAATATAAACACTCTATTTCTACTCTAAGAAATATACAAACTCCCAAAATACTCTTATAAAAAATATACACACTCTATTTATGCTTTTTAATACAAAATATACACCTTCTATTTGTACTCTGTTATAAAAAAATACACACTCTATTTCTACTCTGTTATAAAAAATATACACACGCTATTTGCACTCTGTTTTAAAAAATATACACGCTATATTTATACTCTGATTTTAAAAATGTACACACTCTCTAAATACTCTGTTATAAAAAATATACACACTCTATTTGGACTCTGTTATAAAAAATATACACCCTCTATTTGTACTCTGTTATAAGAAATATACACACTCTATTTATACTGTGTTATAAAAAATATACAACCTCTCCAAATACTCTGTTATAAAAAATACACACCCTCTATTTATACTGTTATAAAAAATACATACACTCTATTTCTACTATTATAAAAAATACACAAACTCTCAAAATACCATTATAAAAAATATACACACTCTATTTGGACTCTGTTATAAAAAGGATACACACTCTCAAAATATTGACCCTAACGCTAACCCTAAACCCTAACCTGAACCCTAACCCTAACCCAAATCCAAACCCTAAACCCTAACCCTAACCCTATCCGTAACCCTAACTCTAACCCCAGCCAAAAACAAAATACACCGAGCCTCAATGGACCCTACCTGCCTCCCTGCCAGCCCATCACTTTAACCTGACTCTGTTCCTGCCTTCCCCAGCAACGTAACTGGTATGGAGGGGCCCTATTCAGACTCTTATCCTCTTCTGGGCGATGGTCATATTGGATGACAGCATATTCCCGGGCCCGGGTGTCTTCATCCTCCCTGGTTGCCATCTTTGGTAACGTCATAATCTCAGATGCCACTATCTTGGATGTACCTGTAACCCTTAGAATCTGACGACATTTTATAACATCCCCCACCGTCTCCAGAAACCCGGGCTCTCTCCCTGACAGACACCCCCGAACCCAGACCCCTCACCGAGTGCCCTCTGTAAAACAAAAAAAACAGAAAACAAAAAAGACAAAACAAAACTTCTCCCAATCCCCAACAACCACAGGCAACTCACTGGCACCACAGCACAGCACAGCACGGCACAGCAGAGCCCAACAGTGGCTCCCTTCCCCTAAACTCGGGGAGCCCCTAACTCCAAGGAGTCCCTAACCCTAGCCCGAACCCCACGCCCCTGCCCAGAGCCCCCCTGGGAGCCCCCAATCACTCCCCCACCCTTCCCCCTGCACCCGGGACCCTGGTATAGACTTCCCTGATGAATATTTATAAGCATGCAAATGACGACCCCAAAGAAACCCCAGGGACCTGCTCCCCTGCACCAGGGGAAACCCTGCATGCCGATTTACATGATATGCAAACAAGCATGCCAATGACCCCCCCAAACATCCCTGGGGCAGGCCCCCTCCACCTGCTGGGAACCAGAAATTCAAATCTCTCCGTGAATATTTAGATATGCAAATGAGACACCCCAAATTAAAACACACCACACCCCTCAGGGCACACGAGCATGGAGGGCACACAAGCCTGGACGGTGCCTGCCTACCCAGCCTTCCTACTTTTGTGAAGCCTATTCGGACTCCTAACCTCTTCCTGGTGGCTGCCATCTTGTATGACGTCATGTTCCTGGGCCACATGTGACGTCATCTTTCTTGGACACCCTATTTGATGACGTCATATTTACATGACACCCCCCCCCTTGGTTTCACCTGTATCCCATAGAATCTCATCCCCTTTAAAAAAAATGTTTTCAGAAGGAAACCAACCCAACACGATCCAGAAACCAAACCCTAAAAAGAGAAAACAAAAGACAAGTCAAAAAAGAAAAAAAATTTTTCAAAATAACACTAGACTCTCCCTGGGGCTCCCTTGTACGCCGACCCTCTCCCTAACCTGAACCCTGACCCTCGTCAGGGTTCTGAGTGGAACCCTGTGAACCTGATCCTAATTAGGGTTAGGAGCCCAACCCTGCCCCTAAGCCATGAATATTCATGCTCTCCTCATGAACATTCATGAAATATCATACATGCAAATGAGATGCCTATTGATTATGCAAAACCCTAACCCTATCCCTGACTCTAACCTTTACCCTAACCCTGACCCTAACCTGAACTTGAACCCTAAACTCCAAACCCCTAACAGTGACCCCAGACTCTCACCCTGAGCCTGATTCTAAGGTGAGACATAGAAGAAAGACATTGAGAAGTTTGTACATTCAGTGACATAATGCATTTTATTCTTTAGTCGATGTTAGAAAGCAAAGGCTTGTATCTCTTGAAAAGTTTCTATCTGACATAAAGAATGATATACAATAAACTGTATTCAACAATTGGTCAACACTTTCTAACAAGGTGGAATGAAAATATAAAGTGTGGGGATTGATACTAGTCCTCATCCACTTATCTGTGGTTAGGAAGGTTTATTTTTCTCCCTCAAAACCTAAGTAGTACATGTGTTAAATTACCTTCCAAATTTCAAGACTCTTGGCGCCTCAGACAGGGACTAGGATTAGAGTCAAACCACTCCACAGTTGTTTGTTGCATGAGTGCACAATAGCATGGCCAACATGTCATGGTGAAAAAAGTTTTGTGCAGCTTCCATTCAAATTCTGCTTCTGCCATTGACCAGCCATGTGATTCCGCACAAGTATTTTAACCTTATTGGGCCTCAGTTTCCCCATCTGTAACTTGGGGGCCTACATCAAATGGGTTCCTGGTGAATAACAACAAGACTGTATTGTTTCAGTTGCCTTTTCCTCCGTCTTTCCACTCTCCCCTCCAAGTTCTTTTTTTTTTTTTTTTTTTTATAGTCTCCCTCTGTTGCCCAGGTTGGCGCACAGTGGCATGATCTCAACTCACTGTAACCTCCACGCCCCAGGTTCAAGAGACCCTCCTACCTCTGCCTCCAAAATAGCTGGGGCTACAGGTGTGTTCCACCATGCCAGGCTAATTGTCAGAGAGTATGTGTGTACAGACCACACCAGGCTAAGTATGTGTGTGTAAAGATGGGTTTTCTCCATGTTGACCAGGCTGGTCTCGAAACTGGCCTTAAGCACACTTCCCGCCTCAACTTCCAAAAGTACTAGGACTTACAGACATGAGCCACTGCCCCACCACCAAATCTATTAAAACAAGAGTCTCACCAAGACAATGAAATTGCAATGTGACGTTTCTGTTTACTTTGGATTATATGTCGTTATAAATATTAACAAATAAGACTTTAAAAGGACACCTTTGGGTGGGTCAGACCAAAGTACAAAACTTGTGTTGTGGGGCTGTAGTTTGAGGACAGTGTCTGCAGCCTTCACATGGTAGCAAAACAGTGTTAAGCAGCGCACGAAAGTCTGCGTCGGCGACAGCCACAGTCCATGCATCGGGAGGTTCGCTTGCTTGGCGAAGGAACGAACCATGGGCAGGGCATGCACGGCCTGGGCTCGGCGGGCGGGGCGCAGTTCCCTCACTCGCTATTAGAGGCCGGTAGGTGACTGCTTAGGGGCTGGATGTCGGGCCCGTTGGGGACTGGCTAGTGCTGACGGGCGCAGTTCCCTCGCTGGCCACTAGAGGTCAGGAGGTGACCGCTTCAGGGCTGGAAGACAGGCCCGTTGGAATTGCCTACTGCTGGCGGCGGGCGGGGCAGGGTTGAACGCGGCGCCTCATTACTGACACCTGACTTTGGAATGACTTTTGTTTTGGCATCAATTTCCTGTCTTTGTGGGGCTGATGTACCCGAGGAAAAATGCCCGTTTGGAGTCAACGCACTTTGAGAGAGAGAATCTGCATGGGATCTAGAACCAAGCAGGGATCCTAGGTAAGGACGATTTCCAAACTTCCTGGCGGGGGGTTCCTGCCGGAGTGGCCGCGCTGCCCCTGGGCTGGGTGGCCAATGAGCCCCACCTCCCAGCCTGACTGTCCCCACCTTTCGGGTCCAGCCCCATTTGCACAGCCTGGTCAGGACAGGGCCTGCACTAGGGGCCTGGAGTTCCGGGTTCTTGTCCCAGCTGTACCCCTACAGGGCCCTTCCGCCCACGCGCTGAATTAAGGAAGCCATAACCAGGTGGCTCTTAACACAGCCATAACACAGCCTCTTCTACCTTTGCCGTTCATCACTTCCGTGTCTTCAAACAGGCTGTCAAGTCTCCTCTCTGAATGAGACCTCCCCCCAAAAGGCAAAGAAGATAGCCAGAGCTTTGCATGAGACCCACCCCCCCACCACCCCCCACCTCCCCCACCCCCCACCCCCGCTCAAAAAGCAAAGCTAAGAAGATACCCAGAGCTTAGCTAGACACCAGGCCTTTTAGATATGGACCGCCTCTTACCTTAGGTCCCCAAAGGGTCTCCATTCTGGCTGCATGGAGAAAAGAGGAGCCTTTGCCTCAACCTGCAGAGGCTGGGGTAGGGTGGCTGAATTCTGGGACTGGGTTAGGCACCTCTGGGGGAGCCTGAAGTAGCATGGATGGTTTCAAAGCCAGCAGACAAGGTGGCAGGACAGTGACAAGACCCCAGGTCCCTATCGTGCACCAGAGCTCACTGAGTCTCCACCTGGGGTCTCTGCTGAGTCTCTGACAGACCAGGAGGGAAGGAACTGGGGGTACTGATCCCCAGAGAGAGAAAGTGGCAGTCAGAGGACTTGGGTTTGAGTCCTGGCTCACCCCTTCCTGGTTGTTTGGCCTTGACAAACTGCTCAGACTCTGGGAACCTGTTTTCACCTACAAGATGGGGCAGAGTCAAACCCAGCTTGCAGGGCTGTGAAGATGAGTTCTGCCACATACAAAAGCCTTCCTAAAGATAGGGAAATAAGGCTCCATGAGCAGCAGGTGGCCAGGGAATGTGTGGGGGCTGGAGTCCTGTTTCCTCTGCAACCTGGGACAGGGCTGATGGGCACTTGGTGTAATTCAAATCATGACCCTGGAACTTGGGCGGTGGTGTGCTTTTTGTCTGCAGTGGAAGTTCCCATCCTCGTGCCTGTGAGACCCGTTACCAGTGCTGAAGGGCGGGCAGCAGGCAGGTGAGCCCCAGGCTAGCAGCCAGCAGGATCTCTCGGGTGACCTCAGATGCCAGTACCCCTCAAGTGTGGTGTCCGGCACTCTGGGCTGGGGGCCCTGGATCCTGGTTCCAGCTGTGTAGGGGCTGGAGAGCCCTGGGCAGGTCACCTGCCCTCTCTGGTCCTCTGTCTCCATCACACACTGGAACTCCAGCTGTGCAACTCTTTGGCTCTGCATCTGTTCACCCAGCATTCCTGAGGTCCCCTTAGTAGGCAGGCAAAGTTTGCTGGCTTCAGCCCTGAGCCCCAAGATTCAGATCCTCTCAAGCCCTTCTTGGAGAGCCTAACTCAGGGGAGTGGACAGGCCCACCAAGCAGGGTGACTCTTGCTCAGCTCCTGCAAGGGGAGACCTGGCCCCACAGGCCTCCCAGAGACAAGGCCCTGGACTGCCACCAGCTACTCCCAAAGGGACATCTGTGGCCGTGGTAGGGCCAAGATGCCATGAGCAACCACCTGGAGGCTCCCAGTACTCAGTGTGAGCCAGGAAGCAGAGAGGAGGGTAAAGGGCAGAGTGAGGACGTGGAGAAATTCTTGCTTTTTCCAAGCAAAAGGGACCCTCTTCTCCACTGCAGTTGACTTGATGCTTATGCAGGGAAAGAGGAGGGGGTGGGCTGTCCTTGAGGTCCGTCAGGAGGAGAAAGAGATCGAAGTGGGAGACTTGCGTCTGAAGTCTGACGTTGACCCTGCACCAACGTCTCCATGGTGCTTCCGTCACTTCCCCCACCTCCTGCCTCGAGCCTCACGCCTTCCTAACAAACCCTGGCCCAGTGAGGAGGCCCTGGGTCTGCAGCTCCCTGATCCCATCAGCTTTCTCTCTCCTCCAAGCCTTTGTGACCACACAAATACTGGGACTGCTTTTCCCTGACCTCTCAGCAGTAAACAGAGCCCAAGGTACTTGCAGACTAGCCAGGCTGGTCTTGGTATTTCTTGCCACAGTTGGAATGGTTTGTTCCCAGTTCCCTGATGGGAACTCCCTGAGGGCAGGCCCTATGTCTCATTTACCCCCAGTGCTTGTGGAATCACTGAGTGAAGCATGTACCAGTCTGCCCCTCATCAGGAGCCTCGGGGAACTCTGGCAGACTTCTGGCTTGCAGGCCCGCTTCTTCCACCTGCCCAGCAGGTGACAGAGATGAGGGATGCAGTCAGTCTTTCTTGGGCTACATCTGGGAGCAGCCGATCTTCAAGGTCTCATCCTCCACCTGCCTGCCTCCTCACCACCTCCCTCCTCCGTTCCCATTGCCCCTCAGCATGACCCGCACTCATGTCCTCTCAGCCTGGGCTGGCCTCTAGAAGGGCCCTTGCCCCAGGTGGCCCTGTCCCCTTCCCCTGGACACATGCTGAGGTCTCCTTCCACCACTGGCCTCTTGGGCACCAGAGGGCTGAGAGCCCCACCCCAGCTCCCTGCCCTCCCCATCCCAGAGTGGCTGAGCCCTCCAAGTCCTACACACGGGGACTGCGGTGGCTCTGCATCCAACAGGGGTCCTAGATCTACCCCGACGTGGGAGCCACAGGCTGTGGTGGCTGCTGGGGAAGCCTGGGGCTGGCCGTGCTGGGCGCAGGTGGCACGGGGCTGGTGGTGGTGGGCAGGCATCAGTCGCTGAGCACAGCCCCCGGGAGCTCGCTGGTGAGTGTGTGCCAGCGCTCAATGCGCTTGTCCTTGTTCTTCAGGCAGTCGAACCAGTGCTTCAGACGCTCCCCCTTGGCATTAATGCCCAGAACCACGCCACCTGCAGGAGGATGGGAGGGGCAGCTGGGGCACAGGGACCCTCTGACTCCTCGGCCTGGGGCCCATGCTCCCTCCCAGGTTCTGTGCTCCAAGGCCGGCTTCTCCCCCTGCCCGCTGGGTTCTGAGCTTGGACAGGAGCTGACCTCCAAGCCATGCTCTAGCCCTGTCATCCTGCCCCTCTTCCACCAGGGCAGGGCTAGAGGCAGGGTGCAGAGGCAGTGTCAGGGCCAAGGAATGGGGGCTGGAAGAGGGGAGAAAGGGCCAGCAGCCCCACTATGTGCAGTCACCAGGCCCACCAGGAATTTGGGAATCCCGAGGGCTCAGAGTCCAGCCCAAGGTGCTGCCCATCACCGTCTCCTGTCCCCACTCCATCACAGACTGCTGTGTGGCCCTCCCACAACTCCTTCCCTCTCTTGGCCTGTCCCTTTCTGGGGCACAGGGGTCAGGCTGGAGAAGGTCTGAGGGCAGTTGGTCTGTGGCTCCAGCTTTCCCCAGGGGCCAGGAAGGAGGGTCAGTGGCCTAAGCCAGGACAGGCAGCGAGACAGTGTTCCCACTGTGCCCCCTTACCAATGAAATCGTTGGATCTCCCAATGTCGTAATCCCACACGGTGACCTCCAGGGACTTCTTGGCCAGGTCCCCATGCTTAATCTCATAGCAGAACTCCTGCTGGCCAGAATGGAGTTAGCGCTGATGCCACGAGGCCTGGGCCTCGGCCAGTGGCCAGGAGGGTGTGAGGGGTGGGGGAATGAGGAGGGCGGGGTGGTCAGCACTCAGGAGGGTATGAGGGGTGGGGAATGAGGAGGGCAGGAGTGGTCAGCACTCAGGAGGGTGTGAGGGGTGGGGAACGAGGAGGGCGGGGGTGGTCAGCACTCAGGAGGGTGTGAGGGGTGCAGAATGAGGAGGGCGGGGGTGGTCAGCACTCAGGGTGGATGAGGGGTGGATGCCCATGTGTCTTGCCTACTTCCCCCAAGCTCTGCTGGGGTCTCCAGGACCCCATCCCCTCGCTCACTTGCTCCGTGTCCCTGAGCCTGCTCTGCCCATATCCCGGGGGCCTCCTGACTGCAGAGGTTCTGCACGCCCCAGTCCCCGTCATCCTGGGCCTCCCTGGGGCCTGGCTTTGCTGACCTCTCCCTACTCTGTGGGTCCCTCTCTCTCTAAGCTTCTGGGACCCTCTCTTCCACCCGGGATCCCCCTTGCTCTCTGGAAGCATTTCCTTGGCCCCCTGTCTGCCCCTGGATCACTGCTGTGGTGTGGGCTCTACCTGAGGCCCCTCTGCTCTTCTTTCCTTCTTGTTCCTTGGGGGGAATCCGTGTTTCCAGCCATACTGACCCTCCTGGGATGAAGACTGTTCTGGGGTCCCCAGGGCACCGTGACTCCCCTTGCCCCACACAGAGCTTCCCCCATCTTCAACTCCTCTTTGCCCTGTTGCCTTCAAGAGGAACCCAGGACTCCCCTCAACACTTCCCTCTCCCAGCCCTACATCCAGCAAGTCCTGCCAAGAGCTTCCCAGGGGTCCCCCAGCTCCCCCGTGTCTGTGGCCTGATGTGGCCCCGCCCCACCACCTCTGACCATCCTCCTCATCCCACCATAACCTTTTGAAAACCTAGCCCCTCCAGCCACACCCCTACTACCTTAGGGCAGAGGAGTGGCCTTCCTGAAGCTCTACCAGCCCTCATACCTCATTGAACTCCGGGTTCAGGGTTTTTTTCTTTACTGCTGTCTTATGTTTGGATTTCTTGTCCACATCTGGCCTCAAGTATCTGGAATTACATCCAAAAGACGGGCAGAGGATGGGCACAAGCTATGGGGCACAGATGAAGCCTGTGGGGATTAGAAGAGCTTCTGTCCCTGGAGATTCCTGGGCCCTTCTGTTGTTCTAATAATTGGATTTTCCCAACACTATTTTGTGACAAAGGTGAGACATTGTTTTCGGGAACCAAGCAGTCCCTTAATCCGCCTCACTTCTGTTCACACACACATTCCTGAAGTTAACCATGGCAGGCCCCTCCATCCACCTGGGAAGGGGTTTTCCTCATTTCTGGAAGTCTCATTTTCACAAGGCTCATGCTTCCCACCAGACTAGAGTTTTTAGCAGAGTTGGTCTCACATTCGAGCTTTTCTTTCTTTCTTTCTTTCTTTCTTTTTTGGTCGCTCTGTAGCCAGACCTGGAGTGGATGGCACAATGTCGGCTCACTGCAACCTCTGCCTCCCGGGTTTAAAGGTTTAGCAATTCTCCTACTTCAGCCTCCCAAGTAGTTGGGACTACAATCACACGCCACCATGCCCAGCTAATTTTTGTACTTTTGAGTAGAGATGGGGTTTCACCATGTTGCCCAGGATGGTCTTGATCTCGACCTTGTGATCCACCCGCCTCGGCCTCCCAAATGTGCTGGGATTACAGGCATGAACCACTGTACCTGGCCTTTTTTTTTTTTTTTTTTTTTTTTTGAGATGGAGTTTTGCTCTTGTCACCCAGGCTGGAGTGCAGTGACATGATCTCAGGCTCACTGCAACCTCCATCTCCTGGGTTCAAACGATTCTCCTGCCTCAGCCTCCCAAGTAGCTGGGATTACAGGTGCCTGCCACCATGCCCAGCTAATTTTTACATTTTTAGTAGAGCTGGGGTTTCACTGTGTTGGTCAGGCTGGTCTTGAACTCCTGACCTCAGGTGATCCCACCCTGGCCTCCCAAAGTGCTGGGATTACAGGCATGAGCTACCATGCCAGGCCTCAAGCTTCTATTATAAAATAGCAGATTTATTGAGTTATATTTCACATACCATAAAAAAAAAATCCATCCTTCTGAAGTATAAAATGCAGTTGCCTTCAGTATGCTCCCAGAGTTGTACAACCATCAACACTACCTCACTGGACTTTTGAGGAAGGAGAAGACCTTTTGTAGAGTAACAGGGAGGCCAGCTAGACGGTCTTGTCTCCATAAGCATTAAGGCCTTAGACTTTGATGCAGAACAGCTGTCTTCCTCTGAGGCTCAGAAAGGTGGAGTGACTTGCCCAAGGTCACACAGCCGGCAAGTCCAGGGGTGGTACTCCTTTCTCTATGACAGTGAAGTCATGTGCAGGCTGGAGAAGGGGACAAGAGGTCCCCAACTTCTTTGCAAAACTTCTCACCCTGTCTCTGCATGGATAATTGCATGACAATTGACCTGCCCCCACTAGGTGTGCTCTGGGGCCTCTGGAGTCTCACCCACTACCTGGGCCTGGCATCGGGGAGCTCAACAAACATCTGTCCAGTGAATATCTGAATCCTTAGAAGTGAAGGCGCCTGCCCAAAGGCATACCTGTGTCCAGCTTATCTTGTTTTGACCAACTGCTCTCCAGAAAGGCTGCATGGTTGACACACAGCACCCTCAACAAAGCTGGATGCTATCACTTACAAAATCCTTGCTGGTTTGAGAACAGAAAATGATATCTCACAGTTGCTTTACTTTGCATTTGTTTTAAATTTTGATTTTTATGGCATAAATACTACTTGTTTATTATAGAAACACTAGAAAATGCATAAGGACAAAACTTGGGATTACGAGAGAGAAATGAAGACATATGTCCACACAGAAACCTGTTCATTGCCGCGTTCTACCATCACTAAAATTTAGAAACACATGCCCTTCAGCTGGGGAACTAACCAACAACAAACCTGTGGTTTACTCTCATGATGGAAGCCTATTCAGCAATAAAAAGGACTGAACTCCTGGCACCTGCAACTGACAAAAGCTGGACTCACAGGGCATATGCCTGCAACTGACAGATGCATCTCAACACACTCCGCTGCATGAAAGAAGCCGGACTCACGGGGCACACACTATCTGACTGCCTTCATGGGGAAGTCTGGAAAATGCAACACTACTGACACAGAAAACAGGTCAGTGGTTGCCTGGTGCTGGGGAGCTTTCTGGGGTCATGTTCTGTATCTTGATTGTGGTGGTGGTAATAAGATTGTACCAGCCTGGGCAATACAGTGAGACCCCATCTCTACAAAAGAATGAACACTTAGCTGGGCATGGTGGCGCATGCCTGTATTCCCAGCTACTCACAAGGCTGAGGTGGGAAGATCACTTGAGCCCAGGAGTTCAAGGCTACAGTGAGCCATCTTTGCACCACGCTACTCCAGCCTGGATGACAGAGCAAGACCCTGTCTGAAAAAAAAAGGAAAAACCTCACAGGATGTGAATGATACACGTTGAGGATCCATTATCTGAAATGCTTGGACCAGATGTTTTGAATTTTGGATTTCTCAGATTTTGTAACATTTTAAGTGTATTTACCAGTTCAGAATCCCTAATTCAGAATTTCAAAAATTCAAAAACTGAACAATCTGAAATCTCAAATGCTTCAATAAGCATTTCCTTTGAGCGTCATGTGAGCACTTAGAATGTTTTGAATTTTGAATTTTTAGATTTGGGATGCTCAACTGTACCTCAAAAAACCTGACTAAAATAAAAAGTGCGGGGGAATTCCACTAAGCCGCCGCCTGGAGACAGCAGTTTTCTTCAGTTACTGTGCTCCTTGGCCATTTTGCTGCATGCTGGAATTGTTTCTGCTGTGAACTGTGCTTGGCCTGTTTTGTGACGGGGTGAAGAGCAGTGTCACAAGAGTCCTGCACACCCTGCCTTCACGAGTCCCTGGAAGGAAGGTGGTTTGGGGATTTCTGTGCCCTCAGCCTACACAACCTGTGTTCATCTAGTGACCCCTCACTCAGCCACCAGACTTCCACAATGGGCACCAGCCTGGGTGCCTTCAGCCACGGGCAGTCATGGACAGTTCCTCTGTTATGCTGTTTTCTCTGCTGGGAGTGCCCTTCCATCCTGATCTGACATTCTGGGGAGATCCCTCAGCATCTGCTCTGGCACCAGTGCACCCTGTGAAGCCCCAGAGGCCTGCCCTGTGGCGTCTCTCCCTCCCTTACTGTCAGGACAGTGGACCTGGCCCCTGGGGCTCATGAACTCCCCAAGTCATGCACCTCGAGCCCCCTACACAGCGACTCCTGTTTGCCTGTGGCTTTGAGAAGAAACCCTTCTGGTTCTAGATAAGAGAGCTGGAGAAGGAAGGGAGTTGCCCAGGGTGGCACAGCAAGTTGCTGCCAGTTTCCGCCATTTTCGCTGGTATGAAATGCAGATAACAGAAGCGACTGCATAGGCTTCTGCGAGAGTCACATGCAGCCATCCCACAGCTCAGAGTTATTACTCAATATGTCAGCAACTGTCACAGCCACTGTTACTCCTGGGGTTTTCCATCAAACTTTCCAGAGCTGGGCCTGGGGTCCACTTCCAGCCTGGGGACACTGAGTCAAGTGTCACCAGAAATGAGGTTTATAAAAATGGTGCATGGCTGGGCACAGTGGCTCACACCTGTTACCCACATTTTGGAAGAGTGGATCTAGGAGCATCACTTGAGTCCAGGACTTTGACACCAGCCTGGCCAATATGGCGAAACCCAGTCTGTACAAAAAATACAAAAAACAACTATCCAGGTATGGTGGTGCACACCTGTAGTCCCAGCTACTCCGGAGGCTGAGGTGGAAGGACTGCTTAAGCCCAGGAGTTTGAGGCTGCTGTGAGATATGATCGCACTACTGCTTCCAGCCCAGGTGACAGAGTAAGTCACTGTCTCAAAAAATTAAAGGAAGAAATACAGAAAGAAAAATAATGGTGCAGACAAAAGGCACTGACCCATCTAGCTTTGCCCCTCAGCATCAGCCACTGGGCACATCCCTCCCATCTTCCGGGGCACAGGTCACTCTCTCTCTTCCAGGTCAAGGATGCAGCTGAGGGGTACCCCTCTTACCATCTAGCCTGTGCACTTATTTCCCCTGCTATTATCGAGGATGTGGGCCCTGGTCCATGAAGGTGCCTTTCAGAGACAGGCATCCCTGAGGAGACCTGAACAGCAGCCCCATGTCTCACCCAGGGAGTATGAAACAGACATGGAGGTCTCAGGTGAGGTGTAGCTCAGATACAGGGAGTGGCCCACAGCTCTGCTGGTCTGAAAGGTAACATGACCTGGCCTGTACCTGGCAGGTGGGACCCAGCTGAAGGGTTCCAACAGCACCTAGACCAGCCCCCTGTGGCAGGGAGGAGCCTATGGTGCAGTGGACAGGCCCTGCCCAGGAGGCCCCCTGCTTGCCCATGGAAGTCAGCTGAACCGACTGTCACAGCAGGTTAAGACCTTGCTGTCTGAGCAACCCAGCAGACAGCCCTGGAATTCCTGTCCATCTGGTAGGTGGGCATATAACCTGATTTAAAAATTTCACACCATAGCTTGGGCATCGTGGCTCATGCCTATAATCCCAGCACTTTGGGACCTGAGAGGGGTGGATTGCTTGAGGTCAGGAGTTGAAGACCAGCCTGGCTAACATGGTGAAACCCCATCTCTACTAAAATTACAAAAATTAGCCAGGCATGGTGGTGCATGCCTGTAATCTGAGCTACTTGGGAGGCTGAGGCACAAGAACTGCTTGAACCTGGGAGGCAGATGTTGAAATGAGCTGAGATTGTGCCCAGCACTCCAGCCTGGACAACAGAGTGAGACTCTGATCTCAAAAAAAAAAAAAAAAATTCACACCATTTTGGCTTCCGATTGCATCCTTCTGCAAGGATGTATACACATGAGCTTCAAGTCAATGACAAGTCAGAAGAAAAAATATATATGCAAACCAGTTTCCTACTGTGTGTGTCGTCTGGTGTTCTGAACAGCTGTCCATGTTATAATAATTCATATAGTTCTAACTTACTCATTTTAACGGCATAGCCTACATTCTACACATATGCCACGTTTGATTAATCTATTCCTCTGGTGATGAATGTTTGACTATTTCCAGTTTATAGCTACTATGAGCAATGCTGCGATAAACAGCTACCCACCCCTGCCCAGGTTTCTAGGAAATAACCCTGGAAGGAAAATAATGTGGTCACAGCACACCCACATTTTCCACATCGACTGGACACTGCCAGCTTTCTCCCCAGTGGTTATTACAAGAGTCTCCCAAGTGTCTTCTGAGCATTCACAGAGCTTCCTCCAACACTCGGGTCTCCAGGGCACTGAGACTGTTTACTCATTGTTGAGGCTGGGGCCCACTTTAGTGTTTTCCACAAAGAAAACCAGTAGCCCCTGTGCTATTTTTGGGAGCCTAACTTCCCCCACAGATGCAGCAGGTCCTAGGCTCTGCTCCTGGAGCCTGGTGTGATTGGATTTTTTTAAATACAGATTTTTGAGAGACATAATACACATACTGTACAACGCACCCTTTCAGATGTATATAATTCAGTGGTTTGGGGTATATTCACGGAATGATGCAGCCATCATCACAATCAATTTTAGAACACTTTTGTCACCCCAGAAGGAAACCTAGGACCCTTCAGCAGCTACTGCCGATGACACCTCAAGCTTTCCCTGGCTCCTGCAAACACAAATCCATTCTCTGCCTCTGTGGGTTGGCCTATTCCGGACACTTCACAGAAACGGAATCCTGCAATACGTGGCCTTCTGTGCCTGGCTTCTGTCACTTAGCATCTTGCTCTCCAGGTTCATCCACAGTGTAACCAGTGCTCCACTTTTTCTTAAGGCTGATCTTCTACCACAAGAACAGACTGCTTTTGAGCATCCATTCATCAGTGGATGGAGTCTTGGGCTGTTTCCACTTTTGGCTGCTGTGAATAATGCTGCTATGAACATTCTTGTACAAGTTTTAGGATGGACATATTTTTCTTATCTCTTGGGTATACTACTAGGAGTGGAATTGCCAGATCAAACGGTGACTCTGTGTTTAACTTTCTGAGGAACTGTCAATTGCTTCCCAAAGTGGCTACCCTATGATTGTCATATTATTTTTATTTATTATTGCTATTATTTTGAGACAATGTCTCGCTCTGTCACCCTGACTGGAGTGCAGTGGTGTGATCTTGGCTCACTGCAATCTCCACCACCCAGGTTGAAGTGATTTTCCTGCCTCAGCCTCCCGAATAGCTGGGATTACAGGTACTCGCCACCACACCTGGCTAATTTTTGGATTTTTAGTAGAGATAGAGTTTCCCCATACTGGCCAGGATGGTCTCAAAACTCCTGACCCAGGTGATCCGCCCACCTCAGCCTCCCCAAGTGCTTGGAATGCAGGCATGAGCCACTGCACATGGCCTAATGTATTATTATTTTTAACTGTAGAGACAAGGTCTCAGTATGTTGCCCAGGCTAGTCTCAAACTCCTGGGCTCAAGCAATCCTCCCAAGTAGCTAGGACTACAGGCACACGCCACTATGCCCGGCTAATTTTTAAATTTTTGGTAGAGATGGGGGTCTCAAACTCCCAGCCTCAAGCAATCCTCCTGCCTTGGCCTTCCAAAGTGTTGGGAATATAAGTGTGAGTCACTGCACCTGCACCATATAATTTTAAAAGTGGTAGGAATACAATCACGGCCAGTGGGGATGGTGCCCCCAGAGCTGTGCCACAAGTAGTACTGGCCTCTTCATGGTGCCAAGATGCCCCCGAGGCCTCAGTCACCTGGGTCCCTGGTGTCCCCTAGGTTAGAGCCATTCCTCTGTCATTCCCCCTCCCTGAAGCACCTGCCTCTCCTTTCTGCTGAACTAAATTCCTCCCTAAGTCTCCCCTTTCCAGAGTCTCCCTGCGAGCTCAGACTCATACCTACCTAGTTTCTGCAGAGCTCCAAGCACTGCAGGCGGCCGCTGTAGCACCTGTGGCACCCTCTCCAAAGGGCCAGGGCTCCTGCCTGGCTCTCAGAGCTACACAGCCCATCCTGGACAGGCTCACAGATCCACAGCTCTGGGGCCCAGGTCACCTGGCATGGCCCTTTAGTGGCTCTCCCCAGGACCACCATTGGCCTCCACTGGTAGAGCTGGGTAGACTCTTATCCACATCTGTGGCCCCAAGATAGGGCTGGGCACAGGTGGGCAGTTGCCAAGGCCTGGAAGACTTTCTCTGCTGCCTCTCCCAGCCTCCTGGTGGGCCCTGCCTTCTCCTATCCCCTCCTCCAAACTGCTCATGGCCCCTCCTGGGCCCCTCAGTCACAGAGAAGCCTGGACATGGCATCAGGAGATAACTAATATCTGCATGAACCTGGGAAGCCACTCAGCTTATCTGGGCCTCAGTTTCCCCACCTGTGACATTAGCTGGCCATGCTTAACCCCTGGAGTTGCCAAAGGAGCCCATCAGGGAACATGGCACCCCTGAACCTCAGCTGCTCCCTGGGTGCCTGTCACCTGAGACCATGGAGGCCAGAGGTGAGGAGGTGGCAGGAGGTCACATGCATGGCACACTCACGTTTTCACGTAGGGGTCCGAGTAGCCATTGGCGTCCATGGCAGCCAGGTGTGCGCACCGCACGATGCCCACCAGCAGGCCCTGCTTCTGTGAGCTGTACTTGAGGGAGATGAGGATACGGCCCCGCTCCTCCAGGGACTTGTCTTCGGTCTTGTCCACCTGTTGGAGGGACCAGTCCTTTAGTCCTTACCTGCCCCCACCCCTCTCTCGGCCATCCTTAGCCTCCCCTTCCTAATCCCGCCCACTCCCACTGCCACAGCCGGGCCTGGTCACGCCCCCGGTGAGTGGTCACTTGGTGAACACACAGCCTTTCTGTCATCTCTTCCCTCCCAAGGTTTCTGCCGGGGATGAATCTGCCCTCTCACTCCCTGTTCTTGGCTGCCTGGTCTGGGGTGACCTTCACAGCCCAGCAAGGGCCAGCACAGGGGTTGGCAACTGCAGCCCAGGGGCCAGATCAGGTCCGATGCCTGGCTCTGTGTGGAACATGAGCTGAGAGTAGCTCTTACACTTTTTAAAAAAATTGTTTAAAAAACAAAATAGAGACTGGAGTCACAATGTTGCCCAAGCTGATCTCAAACTCCTGGGCTCAAGAGATCCTCCTACCTTGGCCTTCCAAAGTGCTGGGATTACAGGTGTGAGCCACCGTGCCCAGCTGGTTCTTACTTTTTTGAGTAGCAGAAAGAAAAATGAAAAGTATTTTGTGGCACATGAAAATGATATGAAATTCACACTTCAGCTCCCATTGATAATATGTTATTACAACACAGCCTTGCCAGCTCCTTGACGCCTTCTCTATGGCTGCCTTTGCTCTAAGGACAGAGCTGCATGGTGACTACACACCACGTGGCACACAGGGCCTGACATATGCGTGAACTGGCCCTTCACAGCAGTCTGCAGTGCTGAGCCTGGCGCCCTTGGCTTCCACAGATGGTTTTCTGCCTCGTCCTACCTCACAGCCTGCCTGACTTTCTCTATAGTCCCAAGGCTTTGAAGCCGGGTCCCACCTCCATGCCTCTGCACATGCTGTATCCACAGCTCGAACACCCTCCTCTGTGTTCACTGCTTGATAAATTCCTGGTCCTCTGGGCCTAAGCTCAGTGCAAGTGGCACCAGACTGGGAGGCGTTTCTGACCCTCAGGGTGGGCTGCCTGTCCCCTCGGTGATCCCACTGCCTCGGCTTCTGTCCTGTCTGGGTGGTCCCCTGCTTCTTCATAGGTCTGTCCCAGCCTCTAAATTCCTTGAAGTTGGAACTCTGCCTGTAACTTCTTTTTTGAGACGAAGACTTGCTCTTGTCACCCAGGCTAGAGTGCAGTGGCACAATCTTGGCTTACTACAACCTCTGTCTCCCAGGTTCAAGCGATTCTCCTTCCTCAGCCTCCTGAGCAGCTGGGACTACAGGCATGTACCACCATACCCGCCTAATTTTTGTATTTTTTGGCAGAGATGGGGCTTTGCCATTTTTACCAAGCTGGTCTCGAACTCCTGACCTCAAATGATGCACATGCTTCAGCCTCCCAAAGTGCTGGGATTACAGTTATGAGCCATCATGTCTGGCTAATACCTGTATCATCTTTAATACCTCAGGGCCGGGCAACAGCCTGGCACTAAGTGCCCACTGGAGGCTTGTCCTAGTGAAGGCAGGAATGGAGGGACAGGTGGTACCCTATGGGTTCAACCTCATGCAACCAACTCCAGCCTGGGGGGGTTTCAAAGAAAGGCAGAAAGGTCTGCCCATGCCAATGGAGCCTGGTGGATGGAAAAAGGTCGTCCTAGCCCCAGTCCCCCAAAGATGCCTCTCAGGGAGCTGGACGTGGCTCACTCAGCAGAACCCAGAAGACAGAGCTCTGGTACATTCCTCCCCTGGGAAAGCTGAGAGCCAGCTGGGGAGGCCATTCAGTGCTGTACCCCAGCAGCTGCCTGGTGCCTCCTCTTGGGGCAGATCTCACTTCCAGGCCTCCCCATCCCCAGCCAGCCTGATGCTTCTCCACTCCTTGCCCTCCCCAGACCACCCGGCCTCTTCCTTTTGGCTGCTACACACCCCAAACTCCTTCTCCTAGGCCCTGAGCCAAACAAGAAACACCAGCTTGAACCCTGGGTCCCCTTAGGACTCCACAAGACTCCTCTCCTAAGCAGCCCCAGCCACATCCTGTTGCTCACAACTGTGCCCTGCCTGGTACCAAGTAAGTCCCTCTGTAGCTACATCTAACCTTTTCTGGAGTTGAGACTCCTGTGAGGTGAGCAGGGATGTCTAGCAGGGAGGACACACATGTCCCCAAGGACCACCTTCCCCACCTCCCAAGCCCACAGTAGACATGGCTAATCTATCCCAGCATTTACTCTGAGCTCCAATGCCACCTCAGAATCCTTCTCAACAGTGCTCGGGCAGCCGTTCCCAATGGATCAGGCCAGGCCCACAAGATCTCACTATTTGCCCCTCAGGTTGAGCTTTCTGTGTGAGGGCCTCAATGCACCATGCTGCTTATGTCAGTGTGTGTGATGTGAAAATTAATATAAACCAGCAGGGGCCAGGCGTGGTGGTGCATGTCTGTAACCCCAGTACTCTGGAAGGCTGAGGCAGGTGGATCACCTGAGGTCAAGTGTTCAAGACTACCCTGGTCAACATGATGAAACACCGTCCCTACTAAAAACAAAAATTAGTGAGGCATGGTGGCAGGTGCCTGTAATCCCAGCAACTTGGGAGGCTGAAGCGGGAGAATCACTTGAACCCGGGAAACAGAGGTTACCATGAGCTGAGATCATGCCACTGCACTCCAGCCTGGGCAAAAGAGTGCAAGACTCCATCTCAAACAAAATAAAACAAAACAAAATAGCAGGGATATTTTCAGCTGTTTTTTCAGGGGTGGGATATGGTATTTTGGGTTGTTTCATAAGAAGACCATTGGGTATGAGTCAGTATTGACTTAAAAGAGATAATGTTCAGACTGTAAAATCTAAAATGTACACCAGAGGCCTGGCACAGGGGCTCATCCCTATAATCCCAGCATTCTGGGAGGCCGAGGCAGGGGGATCACTGGCCAATGTGGCAAACCCATCTCTACTAACAATACAAAAATTAGCCAGGCATGGGGGCTTACACCTGTATTCCCAGCACTTTGGGAGGTTGAGGCAGATGGATCAGTTAGGAGTTCGAGTTTGGCTTGGCCAACATAGTGAAACCTCGTCTCTGCTAAAAATACAAAAATTAGCTGGGTGTGGTGGCACGTGCCTGTAATCCCAGCTACTCAGGAGGCTGAGACACGAGAATCACTTGAACCCAGAAGGTAGAGGTTGCAGTGAGCCGAGATTGTGCCACTGCATTCCAGCCTGGGTGACAGAGCAAGACTCTGTCTCAAAAAAACATAAAAATAAACAAACAAAAGTATCACCAGAATGTGGCTTTACTGCCGGGGGGTAACACAAACTGCACTCCTGTGGCCACTGTGTGTCCCTGAACTACACCAATGAGCTGGTAGCACATCCAGCAATGCCCTGAACATGGCCATGCACAGGCACGCACACACTTTCACCAACACACATAGACACTCTCACACATACAGTTCACATATGGGCACATACACACACACACACAGACACCCCATGAACACATCCACGTGGTTGTTTATGCCGGTAATTAAAACTCAGGAACTACAGCAGGGCTGATGTTGCCTTTCTTAAGTGACATAGATCGTGTGGGAAAACCAGGTTACCTGTGGTTAGCAACTAATAATAACACAGAAAAAGTTACATCCATCCCGCAAATGTCTGGGTGGGAGAGAACGTGATAAGGAAATAAAACTGGACCAAGTGATGCGGAAGGACAGAACTGGGACTCTGGGAGGAAGCCCCAGTCACAGGCTGACTTGTTCCCAGGGCTTGACTTGGGTTAAGCTGGACGTGAGTCCACATTTCCTGGCCCCACTGGGGCTGGGCACACTGGGGACAGCTGCTGGGCTTTGTCCTCCTGAACTTGCCCCTTGCCCAGACCTCTAAGGGGACTATGTGCCAGGAAGGGGACCATGCCTCTGCCTGTGCCCTGAACACTAGAGGGCTGAGGGCCAGCATTTCTCTTGACCCTGGTGGCACTGGGGAACCCTGGTGAGAGGGCCTTCACCTGGTTCATAAGGGCTTTGCCAGCCCTATATACACCAAGACTCAGGAGGGCGTAGCTGCTGGAGCAGGCCGGGGGCAAAATCTCTTCTTACATAATGTTCAGACAAGTGCCATTTTCCGGAAAGGATACTCTTCTGTCTCCTCTGCGTATCTCACAGGCACTCAAGTCTAACATGTTCCAAGCACGCTCCTTGAGTGTCCCACCTGCCTGTGGTCCCTGCCCCAGTCCTCTGGACACAGTGAACAGCCTCTCAGGCTTCAGGGGCTCAGACTCCAAACCTCAGGCCTGCCCTCCCCTCACCCAACGAAGTCCTATCTGCTACCTGTACATCCGGTCCAGAATAAAGCCCCCTCCCGCCGCAGAGGCCAGGTCAGGGCCTCCCCATCTCCCCTGTCTCCCCGGGCCTCTAGCCCTCTCCTCCTTCTTCTTCTAGACTTCCTGAGCCCAGGGCCAGCAAGCCTGGTAAAATGTCATCCCCTGCGTTCCCTCTGCTTGGCACCTCCCGTGGCCACTCAGAGTGAAAGCCATGGTCCTTCCTCGCCTCCAGTCCCTCGCCTCTTCAAGCTCGCCTCCTCAATCTCCCCTCCCCTCTCACTCTGCCCCTCATTAGCCCATCATAGGCAGGAAGTTCTGTCTTCTCAGCACCTGCCGCTGAGCCAGGTATACCACAGGTGCTCAAGAAATGCTCTCACCGGCAGCTGCTTCTCCAGGCAGATGCTAAATGTCTTGGTGTGGTTGGGTTTCAGCTTCTTCAGAGGCACTCGCGTCTCCCCGATGAACTCATTGTGCCGGAATTTGTCCTCATCGCACACGGAGATCCTGGCGGGGGTGAGGGGAAGAGGCACAGCCAGTGCCTCAGACGCACTGGGCTTGGTGGGGGTATGCGAGGATAGGGCCAGCCCTGGCTTCTCCTTTCTCGAGCCCTGCCCTGGTCTGGAGAGGGAGAGGCACAAGATGCCTGGGTGACAGGACCAGAGTGTGGCATGATGTCAGGCACTGTCCTCCTGGACAAGTGTCCTCCAGTTCGAGGAGGGGATAGGAGAAAGCAGGGGTATCCAGGAGGCTGGGAGAGCCAGTTCTCCAGAGGGAACCACCTCCAGCACCCTGAGAGGCCCCAGGAAGCACCTTCAGGGGACAGGCCAGGGTGACCCTTTTCCATCCACCAGGCTCCAATGGCATGGACTAACCTGTCTGCCTGTCTTTGAACCCAGGCTGGAGTTGCTGGCATGAGGTTGAACCCACAGGGGACCATCTGACCCCTAGTCCTGCCTTCACTAGGACAAGCCAGGTGGGGGTGGGTACGAGGAGGGAGCAGCTGTCCGGGACCCTCACCCACCACAGAGCTTTGCCTGACCCCCAGTCTTGCCTTCACTAGGACAAGCCGGGTGGGGGTGGGGACGAGGAGGGAGCAGCAGCCCGGGCCCCTCACCCACCGCAGAGTCTTGCGGATCATGTCTTCATCTGTGATCCCGTAGTAAGTGAGGGTCTCGTTCCACGTGGGGTTCAGAGTGTTATGGAGAGTCTTTGTTCTGAGCTTATTTGCCTGGAGAAGGGAAAAATGATATTATTAGCATCAAAGGATGTGTCAGACAGAACAGTGGCCCCCAGAGATGGCCACATCCTCATCTTGGAACCTGTGAATAGGTTCTCAACACATCCAAGGGGAGTGGAGGCTGCAGGTGGAGTTGGGTTGTTAACAGGCTGATGTTACAATAGGGAGATGATCCTGGATTGTCTAGGTGGCCCAGTGTGGTCACAGGGTCCTTAAAAGCAGAAGGAGCAGAGAAGAAAGTCAGACTGAGATGTCACCAAGGAAGGAGGCCAGGGAGATGCAACAGGGCCTGCTGTGAAGGTGGAGGGAGGGCCAGTACAGAGGGTGGGCGGCCTCTAGAAGTCGGAAAGAGCCAGGCAAGAGGTAGGCTCCCGGGCTCCAGAAGAAATGCAGCCCTGCTGACACCTTGATTTTAGCCCAGGGAGAGCACGGTTGGACTGTCACCTGCAGAGCCGTCAGAGAGTAAGCGCGCTGCTTCAAGCCACGAGGTTCGGGGTCATTTGCTGCAGCAGCCGTAAGAGGCTCATCCAAGGAGGGTCCTGCCTCCAGCCCCTGACGCCTGGGGTGGGTTCTGCAGGAGGCCTGTGTGGAACCCGAGTCTCCTTCCCAGGGCCCTGCCTTTTCGGACTGTCCCATCTGCCTGGAACCCATCCTGTCCTCCGGCATGCCTCGGGGGTGGCCTCTCTGAGCTGGAATGTTACAGCCACTCCGTCCTCCTGAGCCATCGACTCTGAGCTCCATGTTTGAATTGGCCTGATGCCTGCCACGCCCAGCCCAGGCTGGGAGGTCAGCAGCCCCGGCTTCCAATTCCAGGTCTGTGGCAGCATCGGGTTCCACAGCACGGACAGGGCACAGGAATCCCTCTCACATTGCTTTCTGGACCTTGTTTACAAGGAGACCACACTTTATAAAACACTAGGGAGTCCTGGGAACCTCCTACAATGCAGCAGCCAGGCACTGCCAGCTCCAGTCCCACAAATGAGGGGACCCTGAGCTCCTGTGTCAGGTAGACGTCCCCGGTCACACTCGCCCTGGCCCTCACACCCCGAGCCCACCTGCATAAGGACATGGAGGCCCGCCTGGCATGTGGAGCCCATTTCTTCCTCAGGACTAGGTGGTGGGGCACTGCCATTTCTCCTACAGCCCTGTCTCCCTAGAGAAGGGGGATGGCCCCTTCTGAGCTGGTCCTCCTGGACCCCAGGCCTACCCATTTAGAGCCCCAAGTCAACTCAGACTGCCCCATGAAATTAAAAATAAAACAACACTGAAGTGTCAGATGCACAGAAGGAAGACTAATTGGGTTCTGATTCTCCACAGCTCAAGGTCACCTTGATGCTTTTATTTAACAGCGACTTTTTTCCCTCTCTCCTAGATGCACCTGTTGCGCTGGTGTCCTGAGTGCACGTGTGGTTGACCCCCATGTCCTCCAGTGCAAGAACAAGGATCCTGTTTTCAAATATATTGGGCAGATGCTGCCCATTTTATCCTCCTTACGGAGAGTCAAGGAGCAACCCATCAACACATTACATGATAAGTCCTATGGTACAGAAACCTGCTTCCCAATGTTTCCCAATGTTACTGAACCACAGAGTCCTCCGTTTGTACCTAACAGTAACTTCCAGTTGCAAACGCTTCTCATCAAATGCAGGCCTGTAAATTCTCCAGGGGTTCCCCCAGATCAGCAGGTAGGTAAGGCAGACACATGAGGTCCCCAGGAGGCATCCAGGCTGTGGGGCAGACCTGGTGCTCTGTGTGGAGGTGAATGGCTGAGGTCCCCTCAGCTTGCTTGGGCTCTGAGGGGAGTGGCAGCTGTGGGCCTCCCTGGGTGCCCCCAGCCTAGTCCAGGCCCCATCACCGTGGGCAGGTGTAGCTGGTGGGCAAGGCTGCGTGAAACCCCTCACCTTACTGGCTCCGGGCAGCAGGTGCAGCTTGACGTAGGGGTCTGCCAGCCCATTGTGGTCCATCGGCTTCAGGCCCTGGGCAGAGAACAGCAAAGGGTGTAAACTGGAAATCAGGGAGATGGAGCCTGCAGGTGCCCTTGTCCCCTGGGTTTCCTGGGTGGGGCCACTCATGGCCCCTTTCACAGAAGACCCCAGACCCCGCACCTCCAGACAGAGGGAGCGAGGACAGCTCAGGGCCAGTGTAATCTCCCCTCCTGCTAACATCCTGGCCCAGGGCAGCTGTCAGGGACCTTTGTCAGGACAGACTTTCTCTTTCTCTTCTCTCCCTGGAAGCCAGGTGGCTCCCCTTCCTCGGAGCCTCCCTCCCCACCCTCTGTGGCCAAGCCCTTCTCCTAACTCCCCTCCCCCATCTTCTGAGCACGGCCTCCTGAGTGGCCAAGTACCTCACTGACCCTAAATCCACATAACCCCGGGACACAGGCCGAGACCAGGCCCCACTTTGGGCCATATTTGCCACAACTCCCAGTCAGTCCATGGAGGTCACACAAACTGGCCACAGAAGTCCCTCCACAAGATGGCACCCCTCACTCACACTGGTTTTTCTAGAAAACCCAGCCACGCGTGCACAGCTGGGGCACACAGAAGCATGCACACACAAAAAAATAAAAATAAAAATAAAAAATAAATAAAAAGAAGCATGCACACACAGGTTCTTTGCTGACCTCAGCAGGCTCCTGTTTCTGAAAACTGCATTTTTTTTCTTCTGGGCTGGTGCACAGGGATGTAGGGAGGCAGCTGTGGCATCTAAGAGGCACAGCTGGCAACCCCAGGACATTATTCAAAGATGCACTGCAAGGCTTCTACCCAGCCAGGTCAGCAGGCAGCATGGCTGCTCACACCAGCCCATCTCCAAGGGAGGCTGAGGCTCCCTGCCAGGCCCACCCTGCCTTGGTTTGACGGAGCCCTGGGGGATTCGGTGGGAACTTCCAACCACCCACTTCTCTGACGCTGGCAAAGGGTGGAGGTGTGGGGGCCTGGCTGGCTTGGGTTCTGGGCTCAGCTCCCATGGTCACCAGTTGGGAAGTGGATGAGTTACTTTGCATCTAAGCCTCAACTTTGTCATCTGCAAAATGGGTTGGCCGGGAGCAGTGGCTCACACCTGTAATCCCAGCACTCTGGGCCCAAGAGTTCAAGACCAGTCTGGGCAACATAGTAAGACCCTGTCTCTTCAAAAACTAAAAAATTAGCTGGGCATGGTGGCCCGTGCCTGTGGCCCCAGCTACTATGGAAGCTGAGGGGGAAGGATTGCTTAAACCCGGGAAGCGGAGGCTGCACTGAGCCACGATCACGCCACTGCACTCCAGCCTGGGTGACAAGAGCGAGACCCTGTCTCAAATTACAAAAAAAAAAGGGCAGGGGTGTAACGGTCCCACCTTCCTTGGGCTGGAGTGAGAGGCAGGGAGACGATGTGGACACAGGGCCTGGCAGGCAGGGCAATGCTCCCTTGTCTGCACACCAGGTCCTGCGAGGTGCCGGAGAAGCGGCTGAGGTCCAGGAGACGCATCTGAGCTGTGCCCTGCGCTGTGGGGCTGCCTCTCAGACGGGGCCTGGTTCAGTGGCCCCACGTGTGCCCAAGGTGACAAGGCTGCTCTTCCAAACCCAATTCCCTCACCCTAGCCTCGAGCCTTTCCCACCAAGTGCCTGAAGTGCAGAGTTCTGGGAATCTGTGGCCCAGCCTGAGGGGGGAGTGTGCCCGACCGCTGTGTCTTATTCTTACTTTCTTATACATTTGTTTGTTGTAGCTTAAAATGTTTTCATTTGGCCCATGTTTCTCCAGCCAGCCCTCTCGGGGGCTGGCCTCCCACGGAGCCTGACCTCTGTCCATTGAGGGAGAAGGGCAGGAGCCTGTTTCCAGGGCCAGGAGCTGCTAGTGGGGCTCTTCGGCAGACTCTCCCCAGCTAGGGAGTCCTCAAGAGACAGACACCGACACCGTGGGTTAAGGGGAGGCCTCACCAGAGGTGATCTGGTTAGACTGTGTCCCACCCAAATCTCATCTTGAATTGTACCCTACCATTCCCACATGTTGGGAGACAGGTCCAGTGGGAGATAACTGAGTCACAGGTGGAGGTTCCCCCATACTGTTCCTGTGGCAGTAAGTCAGTCACCCATCTTGCTTGGATCCCATTCTCTCTCTTGCCACTAAACGTGTGAGACGTGCCTTTCACCTTCCGCCGTGACTGTGAGGCCTCCCCAGCCTTGTGGAACGGGAAGTCCGATAATCCTCTTTCCTTTATAAATTACCCAGTCTCAGGTATGTCTCTACGGGCCATGTGAAACGGATGAATACAGGAAGGATGGGCAGAGGCGGCCACGAGGAAGGCCCTGGCCAGCACCAAGGGAACACATGGGGGCTCTGGCTTTAAGAGGACAGCCCCTCCCCAGAACCCCAGCCCTGCCCGCACTGGGCCTCTCAGAGGCTGTTGCTGGCGAAGTGTTGAGGAGAGGAGCTTCCTAGTCTCAAGTATTATTCAGCCTGAAAAAGGAAGTTCTGACCCGCACTGCGACGGGGATGAAGCCTGAAGACTTCCCGCTGAGTGAAAGACACCAAGGACAGGTGCTGGGGAACTGCACTTATGCAGATCCTAGAATACCCCAGAATAGTCAAATCCAGAGAAAAGGAGGCAAAGCAGTGGCCTCCCCAGGGCTCCATGGAGGAGGAATGGGGAACTGAAGGTAGAAGGTTCTCAGCACAACTGAACTGTGCACCAAAAATGGCTGAGCGTGGAGGGGAGGAGTCAAAAAAATGGTTGAGATAGGAAATTTATATTTGCATATTTTACCACAATAAAAAAACCACCAAGAGTCTCCTAGAACTGGCAGCGCCAGGGGCTGCATGTTAATTCATGTAATGCTCTCAACAGCCATGCAGGGCAGGGACCATCAACTACTGTATTTACAGATGGGAAACTGAGACTTACCCTTATCAGGGGGGCTGCCTGCCTCCCCCTGGCCCTCCAGAGGCCTATGCCAGCCCTGCTTCAGCTCTGCCACCCTGGGCCCCTCCCCATACCCCACCCCAGAACCCCAGCTCTTCCCTGGCCTGTATCACCCACTTCTCTACAGAACTGGATTTACATACAAGGAACCCGGCCTCCCATCCCCACCTCTGATACCTGAGGAACACAGGCCAAGCGGACACACACTTACACATGTGCACGCACAGTACCCACACATGCACACACACACACAGACCCACGTTCAGAACACACACACGTGTGCACACACAGTACCCACACATGCACACAGAGACCCACATTCAGGATACACATGTGCACGCACAGTACCCACACATGCACACACACAGACCCACGTTCAGGACACACACGTGTGCACACAGTACCCACACATGCACACACACAGAGACCCATGTTCAGGACACACACACATGTGCACACACAGTACCCACATGTGCACACAGAGACCCATGTTCAGGACACACACATGTGTGCACACAGTACCCACACATGCACAGAGACCCACGTTCAGGACACACACACATGTGCACACACAGTACCCACACATGCACACACACAGACCCACATAAGGGTAAACCCGCCTTGCTTGGCTCTCATTCTCACATTGCTTGACTATGTGTGTGCACACACACGCACCTGGAGCTGGGAAGGGAAGGCCCTGGTGTCTGGCATCGGGAGAAGAAGTGGTGGGCTTTGGCCAGAGTGGCCTGGCAGCCAGCACCCCTCCAGTCCCCAGGCCTGGACCACCTCTACAAAGCCGGGCAGAGGGAAAGGAGAGGGGTCTAGCCTGGCCTCTACCTTGGCACAGCTGGAGTTTGCCAAATGCTCCGCCCTGCCCCTAGGGGTGGGCTGGAGCACCCCTGAAAGGCAAGGCTGGGCTTGCCCTGAGACACAGCCTGGGTGGTTCTAGAGGGGAGGGCAGGGGTGAGATGGATTGTGTAGGCCTCTCAGTGCCCAATCAGAGCCCTGGGCCTAGGGTGGATTGCGCCCGCACCTGCCTGTGGCGGTCCATGTGTCGTGGCCAAGGCTGGGCTGGGGGATGGCCTGTGGTGACACCCAGTAGCCTGTCCCACTGGGTGGGCACAGTGCCAAGGGCAGCCCTTGCTGGCAGGCTGGGAGGAAAAGCAAGGGGGGCTACAGGTTGGGAGGCTGGGTGGGGCCTAAGCCCAGGCAGCTCTGTGGGAAGCCGCTGGATCTGAGCTGGGCTGGCTCAGGCCCTTGCGTGGCACTACTAGGGGGACTCCACTGGCCACACAGGCCCTTACCTTGCGAGAGAACATCAATTTTGGCACCTTCCTCCCACAGGGAGCAATGGGATGAGGGGGCAAGGGAACAGGACAGTTGAGAACATGGAGTGGACATATTCTGGCTCAAGAGGCAGAGCCAGAGGGAAGCACCAGGGGCTGGGCCAGGCAGCAGAGGGGCCACAGACACCCCTGACCCCACCCCACGCAGTGAGGTTCAGAGGGCATCTGAGCTCAGGCCCTGGATGGCCTGCCGGCAGTGTCGTCAGCTTCCTCCTGTGACTCAGCTTCCAGGGTGCATGGTGGCGTCATCTGGGAGGCTTAGAGGCACCGGCACCCAACCTGCCCTCCCTTGGCCTGCAGGACAGCCCCTCTTTCCCTCTCAGCAGCTCCTCCCCAGCCTCAGGGGCCTCCGTCCAGGCCTTCATCCTCCCATTCTCGTCTGTTTCTTTTCTTTGCTCCCCGAAATGCCTGACTAACCAGGGTGTTTCTTGGGGTTGGGTATTCAAGATTTAGGCAAGAACTTTTTCCTGGCCCCACACCTCACACTGCACAGACATCCAAAAGCCTGGACAGTAAATGGTGGGGGGGTCTGGCCTCCCTAACCTTGGCTCTCTCTTGAGGACCCCAGGGCAGGGACTTTGGGGGCAGGTTGGCAGAGCCTACCTTGGCCTTGGTGATGGTGCAGTGGAGGGCATTGCTCTCCTGGTCATACAGCAGACTGAAGTCCAGGGTGCCCAGGGCAGCTGTGAACAGAGGAGAGCACAGGTCCCACACTGGCCACGTCTTGGAGAAGTGTCACCTGCCCATGTGGCCAGATGAGCCTGGCCTGAGCAGGTGCCACCACCCCATGGCAGCTGCCACGAACTGAGGACCTACTGCAGGCCAGCCCCTCACCCATCCTCCCAGTCCCACCCAACCCTGGGAAGTCACACCATTCTCACCTTTCCAGAGGAGGAACTGAGGCCCAGAGAGGTCAGGTGGGCACTGAGGCCCGCCTGAGCTGAGCACCAGGCCAAAAGACTTCCTGCCCTCCTGGTGCAACTGCAAGTCTGGGCCCCATGTCTCAGTTTCCCTCACCTGTGAATGTCATAAGGATCACACGAGAAGGCAGAGAAGAGGAGGCTTTGAGAGGAGCAGGCCTGGCCAGGAAGACTAGTCCCCAGGCAATGCACAAGACTGCAACTCCTCTGTCTCTCGGGCCCCTTGGGGACCCTAGACAGGCTGTGAGGAGCCAGCTGCATCCTCAGACCGCTGCCCCTGAGTCTCTCAACCGCAGCAGCAACTCCCAAAAGCCAGGGGGAGGGTGCAGCCATAATTGGGTGCAGCTGCCTCCCTCCCTGGGGTCAACCACGCACAGCAGCTGTGGCCTTCTATGCAGCAGCAGCTCCCAGCAGGAGGGCCAAGGGGAGGGCAGAGCTTGGCCAGTCCCCAGGCAGCAAGATGCACATTCGCAGATGGCTTCGGAAGCCCAGAGTCTGCTCCCAGGCTGCAGCGCTGGTCCACGGGTGTTTCATTCATTCATTATTTACCAAGTGTTTACAGTGTGCCAGACTCTAGCGCACGGACATCTGAAAGGCAGGGTCCCTACCCCGAGGAAAACAGAGCTTAATGGGAGGAACAAATGGAAAGAATTTACTCCAGTAGAACCTGGTGAGCCAGGAGCCTTGGGAAGCCCATGTGAATTGGAACCAGCAAGGAAGGCTTCCTGGAGGAGGTGATGCTTCACCTGAGCCACAAGGAATGAGTAGGAGTTGGCCAATGGCACAGTAGGGCTGGGGGAGGTGACATTCCAGCCACAGGCCAACCAGCAGGTGTGGGCTTAGTGACTGGTGTGATCCTGGGATAAGGGAAGGCCAAACTTGAAAGACTTTATTCTTCAGGCTAGGACTCTGAGCTAGGCTCCCAGCATGGGTCTACATACAATTATGGCCCGCTGGCCAAACCTGACCAGGCCCATCCATTTATGCCTCATCTGTGGCTGCTTTCCCGCTTCAGAGGGACCATATGGCCTGCACAGTTGAAGTATTTACTATCTGGCCTGTTATAGAACAAGTTTGCAGATCTCTGGGCAAGTGCTGGGGCCCAGACGTAACAGTTTCCTGGGTCTGCAGGGAAATGGGCTGGTGAGGGGCCACATGTCGTTTATTCTGAGCTGGTGATGGGAGTGGATTTCTCTACATCACCCGGTCCTCACACGGGATGGGGCAGATGTCTCTGTCTTTGGCTGCAGCGCAGTGTGGGGTGCAAGACCTGCTCCCTGGTATCAGTCTCCTGGGTTCAGAGCCCAGCATGTACTTCCCTGCCATGTGACCAGCTTATCCAGCATCTCTGTGCCTCCGTTTGACTCATCTGTAAAATGGAGACAACAATAGTATCCACCTCACAGCACTCAGTCCCTGGGGTGTAAGAGGCGCTCAGTAGATCTTTCTGGAAGGAGCAGATTCCTCTGGTGGCTTTTCTAGCTAACAGTACTGGCTTCTGTGAGACCCATTCTGAATGAAACTGCTCTCAACTGGAGCATTTCCCTTCCTACCTTTGGGAACAGAATATACACATGGTCACTTAAGCTTTTCTGAATAACCTACATCATTTCTTTGGCTGCAATTACTTTTCCGCATGACACAGTCATAGTCCAGAGGCGGATGGGGAATGAGGCAGCCCCTCCACTGGGGGTCCCGGGGACGGGGAAATGAGGCAGCCCCTCCACTGGGGGGTCCCAGGGATGGGGAAATGAGGCAGCCCCTCCAGTGGGGGGTCCCAGGGACGGGGAAATGAGGCAGCCCCTCCACTGGGGGGTCCTGGGGATGGGGAAATGAGGCAGCCCCTCCACTGGGGGGTCCCGGGGATGGGGAAATGAGGCAGCCCCTCCACTGGGGGTCCCAGTGGGGCCTCTTTTTGGTTTTCTTCATTTTTCTGCCTCCTCCTTTGATACCAGCCTGAAAGTCCTATTAGATTACTTGCCTCTGGTAGCACAAACAGCTCTCTCACCTATTCAATAATTCTTTCTCCCATGAAACCAGGTGATGATACTTGTTAGAACTGTGTGCAAACTAAGAGCCAACAGGTCTTGAGTGGCCGGGCGTGGTGGCTCACACCTGTAATCCCAGAACTTTGGGAGGCTAAGGTGGGTGGACTGCTTGAGCTCAGGAGTTCAACAGCAGCCTGGCCAAACATGGCAACACCAATGTCTACAAAAAATACAAAAATAACTGGGTGTGGTGATGCGTACCTGTGGTCCCAGCTACTCAGGAGGCTGAGGTGGGAGGACCACTCTAGCCCAGGAAGTTGAGGTTACAGTGAGCGTGATTTTTCTACTGCACTCCAACCTGGGCAGCAGAGCAAGATCCTGTCTCAAAAAAAAAAAAGAAAATACTAGGTCTTGAGTGGAGCCTGGGCCACGTTCTCCCGAGCAGGGTATTTGTGCCTCAACAATAGCCATAGCTGGCCTTCGGCTGCCTGTGTGCTGGCTGCCACCCACAGGGCAGGCAGGTGAGGCTGCTGGAAGGGAGGTATATCCCATTGCTCCGGCGGCAGTGAACACAGCCACAGCCCAAGATGCACCAATCGTGCTGCAACAATATTCTCCAGAGCTGTTGACTTGACATGAGAGTAAATCCATTTGCAGCTCAGGTTGGGCCTACCTGGGGTTTGTTTCCCCAACAAATTCACCTCCTGAGCTCAGGGACCTTGTCATGGCCACACCTGTGAGACCGACAAAGAGCAGATGCAGACACACGTGGCAGTTCCATTCAAACTCACTTGCCCTCTAGGGGCTCCCAGGAGCTTGGATCTGGTGTGCCGCCCACGTAGAAAAATGCACACTCTGTAATTTCCGCCTGTTTCCCAACCCCAGAGAAGGGCAGCCAGAAGACAGAGTGGCTGCCTGCCCATCCTCCCCAGGACACCCAGCTCCAGAAGGGGAGTGTCTGAGGACGGGGCGATCGGACACCTGTTACCATCTCCTCGGAGGGAGCGGCCCGCCCAGTACATTACCGGGAAGGGACTGATGAATTTCTCTGAATTCCAGTGGAAGGTCTGTAAGAAATGATAGTTTATAAATAGAAGCTCGGTCACAATTTTGAGAGATCTGGCGAAGCTCTCTTAGGGAGCACATGTCCCAAACTCTTCATTTCCCTTCAGAGAAATGAGGCTCAGAGAGGGGAAGTGAGCTGCTGAGCGCGGCCCAGAAGACCTGGGCACAGAATCTAGGCCTCTTCAACCCTGCCTTAAAGCCTAGTGGCTTCCAAAAAGTTGGGTTTTTTTGTTTGTTTGTTTTCTGAGACAGGGTCTTGTTCTATTGCCCAGGCCAGAGTGCAGTGGTGTGATCACAGTTCAACCTCCCAGGCTCAAGCCATCCTCTCAAGTCAGCCTCCCAAGTAGCTGGGATTACAGGCGCACACCGCCATGCCCAGATAATTAAAACCCTCTTTTTACACAGAGACAGTTGGCGGGGGGGGGGGGGGGGGGGGGGGGGGTAGGTCTCACTATGTTGCTCAGGCTGGTCTTGAACTCCTGGGCTCAAATGATCCTCCCACCTCCACCTCCCAAAGTGCTGCGAGTACAGGCACAGGCCACTCCACCCTGCTCCAATAAGCTTTTATTTTTATATTTTATTTTATTTCAGTCTTGTACTGAGTGAGACTCCAGTTTTAGGCCAGTTTGCCACTTTGTTTAGCTGAAATCTTAGGAGGATGCAACTAAGAATCGAAAGGAGAGAAAAGCAGAGTTGCTCTTGGGGAAGGAGGGTGGGGCTTCAGCGCTTCCCTGGAGAGGCCTCCCAGTTGGAAAAGCACCTCCATCCTGTGCTGGGAGTGAGGAGGGCCTGGGGGCAGGGGAAGGCGCTTCTCTATGAGAGCCACAGTGCCCTACCCTTGGAGCGCCCAAATCACATGGCCCCACTGAAGTTTACATTTTCAGAGAAATAATGAGGGTTGGTCACTAATGGGCCTCTGAGAGTTCTCACCCGCCTGTCGATAATTATAGAGCTTTAATGGGGCTGATTCAAAGAAAATCCAGCTCAAGCCCCTGTTGGCTCCTCCAAAGCTGAACACACCCCGCCTGGCTGATGGAGACTGACAGCATCACCATAACCTTGCTTTGTGCCTGGACTTTCCTGACCCACGCACCCTTGGGAATAGGAAATCTGCCCTGATTTCTTTCTTTTTTTTTTTTTTTGGAAGAAAAAAGAAAATCTCTTTGTAAACTCTCAAATAGTTTACAAAGACAAAACAACTGTGGCAAGGACCACAGAAAATCATCAAGCCTGTGCTGAAAGCATTTTATACTCGGGGAATCTGAGGCACAGAGCCAGTCAGCCACTGCAGGGGGATAGAGAGGAATGAGCCATCATCCCTGCTTCCCATCACCTTAGAGATGAGTGTTACGATTTTTATAAATATCTTCATTCATCTGCTTTAAATTGTTCAAAGATTCTCTCTCCATCAACTCCTGGACTCCGTGCAGCCTCCTTGGTGTGGCATTCAAGACCTTCTGTGACAGATATGACTGCTTTGGCCTCCTCATCGATCTCCATCCCTTGTTTCAGCCCCTTGGCTCTATTGTTTCACCTACACCGGGCTGAGTTTCTGACACTTCAGAACCTGCGTACACAGCTGTCCCTCTGCCAGGAGCACCTCCCTTTCCTCCTTCCCCTCTGCCAGCCCACCTCCTCCCTCTTCCCAGTCTTACAGCTGAGCCCTCTCTATGAGTGACCTCTGCAAGCCAGAGCTTCCCACTGGGGTTCTTGCCTCCCTGTACCTCGCTGCAGGGCCGCTTGTTTTTCTTGGTTTTGATGAACACCCTCAACTCAGAGTTACCTCTCAGCATTCTTGTCTCTCTGTGCCTAGCACAGATGCTGCCACATGGTGCTGTAATGTTGAGTGCATTAAAAATATGACAGGTCCAGGTAGAACATGACTGGAGCCAAAGAGCTTCTGGGCTCAAAGGAAGGGGCACCAGAGCTGGTGGGGGCTGGAACATGCCCCCTGCCAAGGAGAGCCTTGGTGGTGCACTCGACACTTTGTCCTTGCCCCAGACCTGCATGGAAATCAGTCCTGACCCAGCCCTGGTGCAATTCTGGCCAATGAGACCAAAGGACAGGTCTCCTGGGGACTTCCAGAAGAGGTTTCCTCACTCTTAAACTGAGACACGAGAGAAGAAATTGGTCCTTACCCAAGGGAGGACCTTATCATTACATGCAATGCCTAGACCCGCAGCAGCCACCTTGGACCTGAGGGCTCTGTTTGGCTGTTGGAGATGGACAGCATCATTCTGACCTTGGTTTGCGCCTGAACCTTCCTTACCCAGGCACCCTTGGGAATAAGAAATTGGTCTTGATTTTCTGTCTACAAGGAAAAGCAGACAGCCACATGCAAAAACAGACAGAGCCATCACCCCTGATGGTGCTGAGGTGCTGCCGCATTGGTGCACCCTGGGCAGCAAGACCTCAGCTGTCATAGTTTAAGCTACTCTGAGTTGGTTTTCTGTCACTTGCAACCCACAGCCCCCTGGTGATTACAGCTTTGAAGAATGAACTGGGCTTCCACAGGTGGGGCCAGGCAGGAGAGCATCCCAGGTAAGGCAGTGTGTGGTTTGAGGGCCCAGGGCCCGCCTGGAGGGCAGCGCACTGGAGAGGCCATCCTAGGAGAACTGGCAGGGTGGTGACCAGGTCCTGTTGCTCCCTCAGACATTTGCCGCCTTTCCTCCCTGTCATCACCCCTCTGAGAGATCTGCTGGGAACATATGAGTTGTGTGCTTGCGCTCTGATATGACTTAATAAAGGAAGGGCTTTAAAGAGCCGGGAGAAAAGGCTGAGCAAATAAACAGCACTTCACTCTCCGCCTTGGACAACAGAGCAACCGCCCTCATTTCTTCTTGTCAGAACAGAGATAATCCAATAATTAGGGCAGCAAATAGCATAACCCGGGCTAAAGCCATAATGAACCATCTGGCTTGAATCATTTAGGCTTATTCTAGGGATCTGGTTGTCACAGCCCAGAGGGGGGCATGGCCTGGGGTACTGAGTGGAAGGCGGTCCCACCCCAGAACCTGTTTGCCCACCATGGACAAGAGCCAAGAGTTCTGGGCTCACGTGCCTAGGATGTTTGCTCAGCCTCCAGCACGATCCAAGCCTGGGTGGGGCACCCTTTAAAGGGGGCAACAGTGGCCCAAGCTGGCCCTGGCTCTGTGGCACACCATCCTCCTTAGCTCTTCTGAGTCTGTTTTCAGCATTTGTTTGGTGTGTCCTGGTAATACGGGTATGCACGAAGTGGAAGTTGGCAAAGCTGGGTCCGGCTCTGCCCTGCACTGGTGACCCTATGTGAGTCTGGCCCCCGCGCGGCATGTATCTGAGGCCAGGGACCCAGCCCCACTGCCAGGACATGCTCCAAGAAGGGCTGCTGAGCTGACAGACTGGAGGTGGGGCTGGCTGGCCTGAGTTTTGAGATTTCCCATCCCCTCCTTGCCTTGTGGGTTAGAGCTAGCCAAAAAAAAAAAAATGCCAGCTATTCACATCTTGGCCATTTGCCATCCAGAGGGCCCTGTGTGGCACGAGGATCGGGGACTAAAGCTTTGCCCTCACGTCTCACTTCCTTGGTGCAGCATTGGAGATATCGGAAATGGGAACAACCTTCACGCCCCTTCTTCTAGGGGAGGCTTTGGATTCAGGCCAGCAGAAGGAGAGACCTGGATCCCACTTAGGGCCTACCCAAGGGCTCAGCAAGTCTGGGGTGAGCTTCCCACAGGGTTCCGGGAGCAGAGAGGAGGGGCCTGGATCTAGGGCACAGCCCTGAGGGCAAAACACTCTCGCAACCCAATTTCTCCAAGCTGGCAGGAAAGTGGAGGGGCAAGACTGCTCCCCAGCCCCTACGCCCCAGGGCAGGGCCTCCATATGCCAGGCGCTGGCCCGAGGGCCGCGGTCCAGGCCTCGAGAAAGTGCATAGTGGGCAGTTTCCCTACAGCGGCCCAGCTCTAATGGGCCACTGCTGATGGGCCTCCCCAGGTGGGGCAATGGGGGGAATCTGCGCTCCGGGGTGAGGGGCACTGGTAATTCCCACCTTCATCTTCTGGTGGCACATTTGATGTGTGGGAAACTCCAGGCCCGCAGCCCGCAGGCCCTGGTAGGTGCCCAAGCCAGGCACAAACACCCCTGCTATGCAGGAGAGGGCCACCCCGGGGCCCTGGAGAAGCCAGAGCGGGACTCCTTCTCAGCAAGGGCCATATCCCGGGCAGGGCTGGGGTTTGACGCTGGTTTTCCAGGTCTCTCAGTGACACGGCTGGGGCTAAAGCTGGACTGGGGCAAGGGGGGTGTCTCCCATCCCACCCTGACCCGCACAAAACGATTCCTCACTGGACTGCGACCTATTCCAGCCTCGGTTTCCCAGCCAGTCCCGGCTTGGCCGGACAAGCACCCTCAGAAACAGGAAAAGGCGCCACGAGCGCCCACCCGCCGGGCCTCGGCCCTGGGACTCCGGCGGTTGCCTGCTCCTGGGGCTCGGGGCTCAGTCCCGGGGGAGGCGGGCGGGCTGGGAGCCCATCCTGCCTTGGGGCAGCACGCGTAACAGGTGTGCGAAGGTCCGCGGCCCTGCCGAGCACCGCAGCGGGGTCCATGGACATTTTTCCAAAGGACAAGCGGCCCCATGGCCCTCCTGGTCCTCAGCCCGCGCGCCAGCAAAGCTGCGGCTCTCTGCAGAAAGCTGGGCCCACTGGGAGGCAGGGCCGCTCCCAACCCCGGGCCCCTCCCCGGCTCGCCCCGGCCCGACCCTGCGCCAACCTCCCAGAGCGGTTGGCGAGAGGGGAGTGACCGTGCGGCCCGCAGCAACTAGTGTCTCTCGCGGACGCAGCTCCGCCCTTAACGGAAAAAAAAGCCGCTGCCCGCACCGGAGCTCCCGGAGGGCAGGTGGGCAGGGAGGGGGCGCGGCCCGGCCCCGGAAACGGGATGCCATGGGGGAGGCCCCCAAACTTCCCTCCTCTCCAGCCCGGTCGGGGCAGGGCTTGGAGAGCGCGCGAGGGGGCGGCGACTCACCTCCGGAGGAAGAGGCGACCACGCTGGGGGCGGGGAGCGACCCAGGGGACCCGCGAGGCTGGGGGCGCCGAGCCCCAGCAAGGGAAGGGCGAGCGAAGTCGGCGAGTTGGAAACTTACTGCAATCGTCTGACTCGTAGCCGTCGGCGTCGGGCTCGTCCTCTGGTGGCTTGGCAGGCGGGCACGCGGGGCTGGGACCCGGGCTGGGGCCGGGGCTGGAGCCGTAGGCGCCGAAGAGCTGGTCCACATCCTCGTCGTCGTCGCGGGCGCCGTCTGAGGGACTGCGGGAGCTGGCGCTGGCCGCTGCCGGGCGTGCAGGGGCGTCCGGGGGCGCCGGGGTGCGGAGCGCGGCGTCCTGGGGGAGGCCCCGCGGGAAGCGGGGGAAGTAATCGGAGATCTGCTTGATGGGGCGGATGGGGCCGGGGCACACGTCGATGGCCATATGCTCCTGGATGCTGATGGTCGCCTTCTCCCCGCGCCGCCGGAGGGTCATGCAGGCAGCGCCGCCCCGCTCGGGCGCGGCCCCGGCCCGGCGCGACCTCGGCCCGGGGGCGGCTCAGCAGGCCCGGAAGGGCACGGCGGGGGCTGTGGGCATCGCCGGCCGCGCCCCCGGACGGCCCTGACGCTGCTGCTGCCGGCTCCGCGGCCGGCGCGAGTGAGTGCGGGAGGCCGGCAGGCAGGGGGCGGGCCCAGCCCGCGTCACCCGGCGGCAGCCAAGCAGGGTGAGCGCGCCGGCGGGCGGCGCGGAGCGGAGGGGGCGGAGGGAGCCGCACGGCGCCACAGTCTCCCGCACCCGCACTCACACCGCGCGCACCCCAGCCCGGGACCCCGCGCGCTCACACTCGCGGCCAGGCAGGGCCGCCGAGCGCCTTCCTCTCGCACGCTCGCGGGACAGTCGGGGACCCCGGGACGCACGCAGGTGTGCCGGTATAGAGACGCGGTGGAGGCCTCCGCTCGTTCGAACCCGTGGACACACACACGCGTGCGTGGGCACACAGAGTTGGTCAAGGGTGCTGCGGCACAGCGCACCCCAACGCCCACGGGCTCACACCTTGCAGAACACACACACGGGTGATCAAGGGCACCCCTGAGCCCCCAACACACACAAACATGCGGCCATAGAAGTGATCGGGGACCCTGGGCACAACTCCCTCTGTCCTCCTGCATCTATCTAGCAGGACTCGGGGTGAGCTCCTAGTGGGTAGGGACAGGCCGCCTACACACGGGCATGGACATGCCCAACTGTACATGGACACCGCGGCACAGTCTGTGCACACATATTCTCAGGTCTCATACTCTAACACAGCACTCTAACCTCCAGTCAGCCCCTCACTTGCTCAGTGAGTGGCTTGAAGGACCCACCAGGGCAGGGTGGCTGAGAACCTGGACAGGGTCTGGTCAGAAAGGGTGAGGGCAGGGCCTGGGCCGTAAGTGAGACAGAGGCTGGGCGGCATCCCCACCCCGACCCTTACTCTGGGTCTCTCACATGGTCAGATCACTAAACAAATTCCACAGGGCCCAGCCCCGCTGTCCGGCTTTCCAGGACCAGAGCCCTGGTGGGAATGGCTGTTCGTGGACAGGTGTCCCCAGAAAGCCCTGGACACAGATGGAATTCTGTTTACCCTCTGGTTTCCACTGACCATGAGACGCTTAGCTTCTTAGCAGGGGACCTTTGTTGAGTCTGAATGAGGGGCTCCAAGCCTCTCTTGTTCCCCCACTGTAACCCCTGCAGAGGGATGGAGACCAGAGGAAACAGTTGCAAAGCCTTGCCCTGCTTCCAGCTGCACATTTCTGGCAGGCTATTTGAGCTCTTTGAGCCTCAGTTTCCCCATCTATGAAGTGAAGGTATTTCCAAATGCACAGCATTGTGGCAAGACCCCATCCAGCACAGAACTTGACAGGTAAGAGCTTCTCAGTTGGCTTTCCCTTCTCCCTTCTTTTGGAAAGACCAGACTCATGGTGAGAAGTGATGAGAAATTCATGTCTCATGCTGAATTCTGAACTGGGTGGCGGCAGCACTACCGGCCTTTGAAAACACTGGAGGAACACATGGCGTATGTTGCACTTGCCAAGAACATTCACAGCTGTCATCTCATTGATCCCTTAACCACCCCAGGATATAGGCAGGGCCTGCTGTTCCCACTTCACAGGTGAGGAAATTAGCACTCAGGCACAAGGATGTGCCCAGGTGACTGCTAGCTGGTGGCAGAGCTGCGGTGAGAGCCCAGTGTCCTGACTTTCTGGTCCTTCCACTTTCCCTCCCTTCTCCCTTTTCTCCTCTCTTCTACAGAGCTCAGGGGCTCAGAGCAGAGTTGGAAACGCAGGTAAAACCTTGTGCCCAAAGCTCATCCTGAGGCTTCTTGAACAGGGGAAGCTCAAACTGAGGAGGGGAAGGAAGAACAAAGAAGAGGAGGAAGAGGAGGAGGTAGGAGGCCAACAGCCTCAGGGGTTACAGTGGAAATGAACCAGCCTGTAGTCTGAGGTCCTGGTGGGAGAAAAATTCAGCCTTCCAAGAGCCAAAGGCCAAGGGAAGGGACAAGAAGAGCCTGGAAGGGCAGCCTGGTGCAGAGGGGAGGGAAGGGACAGAAGAGCCTGGAAGGGCAGCCTGGTGCAGAGGGGTTCTCATTTCCGGGAATGCTTAGATTAATCCTTAAATAGGCACTTTTTCTGTGCCAGAGGTGGCTGCATCACAAAATGATTATATAATGATACAGGTATTAAAATACAGACGCTGAACCATCATTTTATCATTACTAGGGAGCTAGAGGGTGCTGTCATTGTCTTACTGATGGGGAGACTGAGGCTTTCGAGGTCAAGTGACTAGGAAGAGGTAGCGTAGGGATGAGACCTGGACATCCTGACCACCAAGCCTGTGCCTTTTAACATCAAGGCCCTGTGCCTGTGTTCACTGAGAGCTGGCCCTTATCCTGTGGGTCTGGGTTTTGGAGAATGAGCTCATGGCTCTTGGCTCTGCAGGACCTGGCTTGTGGGGAGGGTTTGGAAGAAGTCAGGTGGAGGACCCAGCATCTAAGCATGGAGCCAGGAAACCCCAGTGTGCCCACTGGAGAAACATGTGGCATGTGGGGGCCAGCCCTTGGCAGGTAGCAGAGTTGAAATCCATGCTAGGTCTGAATTTGCCCAGCTCTAAGTCCAGCTGACATGGGTGGGGACTCCCCAAGGGACAGAAGTGGTGTTATCTGGGCAGACGTTCACTTTTTAGAAAGAGCATAGGTCAAGCAGTAGGCACGCTTAGGGTCAGCAGTCAGGCGTGCCTCCTCTCAACTGCCTGACTGGGCAAGTGGCTTAACGTAGGCCCTGGGTCGCATCTGCAATGGGGGAGAAGAACAACCTTGTGTGAGTTAGAGGCCAGGATGGGCACACAGTGCCCAGTGTGTACATGGCACTCAGGGAATTGTGGTTCTGCTGCCCCTGCGCCACCTTCCTGGTGCAAACCTTCATTGCACTCTGCACTCGCCTCGATTTCTCACCAGTGAAATGTGGACAGCTGTTCCCTGTCTGCCGCCAGGACCAGGTGAGAAATGGATGTACCTACCAAGGCGGGGTGCTGGCTGGCATGTGTGGGCATCTCTAAGCAGTTGGACATGTCCAAAGCCTCATCAGTCATGTTGCCTTCCATTCCCCATGCTGGGATGGGCAGCTGGACCAGCCCTTGGCAAAGTTAAGTGGATGGAGTCTGCCCTTGGGCACAGCCCTCAGGAGCCCCAAGCCCTTGCCTCTCTGCCCCCTGCATTTCCCAACAAGCTTCTGAGCTTTCTCCCAACTCCCTACAAATCCACTCAAAGGCTCCTGTCAAATGAGATAAAGTGGGTTCTTTAAAAAATGGACCCAGCATCTGTAGCGATAGCATGTCTAGTCAGTTTGTCACCGAAGCTGGAGTGCAGTGGTGTGATCACAGCTCGCTGCAGCCTCGACATCTGAGGCTAAAGTTATCTTCCCAACTCAGCCTCCCAAGTATCTGGGACCACAAGCATGCACCACCATGCCCAGCTGATTTTTTAAATTTTTGTAGAGATGGGGTTGTTACCCAGGCTGGTCTCAAACTCCTGGGTTGAAATGGTATTCCTGCCCTGGCTTTTCAAAGTGCTGGGATTACAAGCATGAGTCACTGCCCCCAGCACAGGATGTCTATCAACAATGCCGACTACAGGCCCCACCTCACACCCACTCAGAATGTGTATGCACAGTGAGGATGCATCTTAACCAGCACCCCGATGATTCTGGTGCACAATGAAGGTTGAGACTGGCTGGGTGAGAGGGTGCTAATGGTTTACCACAGTGATTGTCAACCTGCTGGGCTGCCTCTGTGCTGTTTACATGTGTAACACAAGCCCATCATGACATCCCTCAGTATTTAGTGATTCTTCACTGGGGAAGTGAGTGTCTAACCCGAAGTGGGTGCTGGGATTTCCAGAGGGGTTTGGCAAAGCCACTCTGGGGAGTCTGATCTCCTCCTGTTTGGATATTCTGACCTCTTTCCTGTTGGGGAAGGACCATTTAATAGCTCTTCCTAGAGTAGGTAACGTGTTTTTGAGGAAATACCCTTAGTGCAGCACTTGGCTGGATGCTCCTTGGTTGGCATCTTGGCTGGTGTCCACATACCCAGAGAGGAAGGGCCCTCTCTGACCCTGGCCTAACATGTATCCCCTGTTTACCTTCCCTGATTACCACAGGGGCTCCTATCCTGCTGTGCTAATAGTACATTCTCTGTATTAACAGAAAACTTTAACCCAACAGAGGGGCTTGAATGGAGGAATTCCAAACAATGTTGCTGTTTGATGGAAAGGGGCCTTCCAAGGTCTCCTGTCTGTTCATTTATTCCTGAAGCCACATTTCAACAAATATATATTGGGCACCTACCCTACAACAGGCCCCTGCTGCATTCTGAGGGGGCTGGTAATAAATAAAGCCCATTTTTCTTTAGATTCCACATGACGGAGGGGAAGTCAGAAAGGGATGTAGGAACCACCACTCTGGGGTCCCATGTCTCCTTCTTGATGTGTGCCATAGCCTTGGCATGGAGGCATGCTGGAGTGCTGATGCCAGCAAGTCAGCTCAGCATTTGCAACACAGCTTGTGGCTGTGAGAGGCCAACTTGATACATTAAGTGATGTTAAAAATGCAGCCTATTTCTGATAATTTATTATGCACATTCTCATAAACACATTACACTCGTCACAGTACATTTACAAGCACCAGGCCTCCCAGTGGGGAAAAGTTAACACCTACCTAATGATGTTGTTTTGCAGATGTCAAAGGCGCTGGTGCTGCAGTGATGGGCTCAATGGAGCAAAGAAATACGAGTCTTTTTTTCTATCCAGGGACACCAGGAGGCTGCCAGGGCTGGGCGGAAGAACAAGGCTCTCTCCCTCCACCCTGCCAAGGCCTGGGCTGTGGGATTGGAGAGAGGCCGGGTGAGAGGCTCCCCTGCCAGGAGAGACTTAGCCCAGGATCAGGCTGCCTTTGGCAGGAGATTAGATGTCAGAGGGATAATGCTGAATCCTCTGGGGAAGCTCTAGAAATGACCTCTGGGAGAAAGAGGGGCAGAGCCTGAGGCTTATGTGACAACACAGACGTGCCTTCCTCCCACAGGCCTGGGGACCCCTAGAGCCTAGGATCTTCATGACTGGGGTGAACATCTCAGCGTTATACGTGAATTAGAATGGGCAGAAATTTTAACAAAGCCAGGGCTGGTGGAAACCCAGGGCCAACAGCCACCAATGTTCCCTCTAATAGCTCTGAGTTAAGGGTGCAATTCAAAGGTATTAACAATGCAAGTGGTAGCTGCCAATGATAAGCTGTTCCATCTTTTTTTTTTTTGATACAGAGTCTCCCTCTGTGGCCCAGGCTGGAGTGCAGTGGCATGATCACAGCTCACTGCAACTTCTGCCTCCCAGGTTCAAGCAATTCTCCTGCCTCAGCCTCCTGAGTAGCTGGGATTACAGGTGCCTGCCACCAGGCCTGGCTAATTTTTTCTATTTTGAGAAGAGATGGGGTTTCACCATATTGGCCAGGATGGTCTTGAATTCCTGACCTCAGGTGATCCACCTGCCTCAGCCTCCCAAAGTGCTGAGATTATAGACATAAGCCACCACGCCTAGCCCACTTTTTTTTTTTTCCTTAAGGGACAGGGCCTTGCTCTGTTACCCGGCTGAAGTGCAGTGGCATGATCATGGCTCACTAGTCTTGAACTCCTGGGCTCAAGCAATCCTCCCACCTCAGCCTCCTGAGTAGCCAGAACTATAGACATGCACCACCACGCCCAGCTAATCTTTTAATGTTTTATTTTATTTTTGAGACCAAGTCTCGCGCTGTCGCCCAGGCTGGAGTGCAGTGGCGCAATCTCGGCTCACTGCAACATCTGCCTCCTAGGTTCAAGCAATTCTCTTGCCTCAGCCTCCTGAGTAGCTGAAAATATAGGCACATGCCACCACGCCCAGCTAATTTTTTGTATTTTCTTTTTAGTAGAGTTGGAGTTTCACCATGTTTCCCAGGCTGGTCATGAACTCCTGAGCTCAGGCATTCTGCCCGCCTTGGCCTCCTAAAGTGCTGGGATTACAGGCGTGAGCCACCATGCCCAGCCTATGTTTTATTTTTTTAGAGGTGGGTCTTGCTATGTTGCCTGGACTTACATGAACTTAGTTTTGCACTTACTACAAATGTGTGTACCTGTAAACAATATATGGTATTGTTCTGCATACTTTAAAATGTTATATAAATGGCATCATTCTGTACATATCCTCATTAATCTTATTTTTGACTTACTATTGCTTGTGAAATTTATTCCTGTTGATGCATCTAGCGACAGTGTGTTTTTACTGCTGTCTACTATTCCACTATGTGAATACGGCATAATTTTTTCTCTTTTCTCCTATTGTTGGACATTTAAGTTAGTTCCTATGTGTGACTATCATCAACATGCTACAATGGCTATTCCTGTTTGCTGGTCCACATATGGGACAGATTTTTTTTTTTTTGGGTCTCACTCTATTGCCCAGGCTGAAGTTCAGTAGTGCCATCTTGGCTCATGGCAGCCTCAACCTCCCCAGGCTCAGGTGATCCTCCCACCTAAGCCTCCCAAGTAGCTGGAACTGCAGGTGCACGCCACCACATCTGGCTAATTTTTGTATTTTTTGTAGAGATAGTGTTTGCCATGTTGCTCAGGCTGATCTCAAACTCCTGAGCTCAAGTGATCCTCCCACCTCAGCCTCCCAAAGTGCTGGATTACAGGTATGTGCCACCATGCCTGGCCAGGGAGAGTTTCTTGGATAGGACATTCGCTGAGCTGAAGGGCTGTATATCTTTAGCTTGACTAGAGAGTGTGTAGCTGCTCCCCAAACTGGTTCTAACCATTGCCAATCTCACCAACCGTCCATAACGGCACCACCTCCTCCATGTCCTTGTCAACACTTGGTATCGCCAGACTTGAATTTTTGCTAGTTTGATAGGTGTGAACAGAGTTTTTTGTATTTAATTAGTTCTCCTGGCTAATTAGGAGCTACTTCATTTCTGCTGCTAAGGGTGGACACATGCCATCAATAGATAAATGCAACAAATTAAAAATTGAAGAGCTTCTACCTATAAGGGATTGGCTAACCTTATAGATTAGTATATACTAATGATACATAGTAATATATATAACAATATATAAATTAGTATATACAACCTTATAGTATGCCTCACCTGTACAACAGAACACTACACGACCAATAAAAAGGATGTGTGCGCTGATACAGAGGATATACTGGTATTCTGATGTAATAAATATCTTTTCATCTCTAAGACTTATTGTTAAATAAAAAAGCAAGAGGCATAAAAAGCATATTCCCTTTGTAAATGAAAGGAGACGTGTACACATACAGATTTTATGTACATGCACAGAATACCTCTGAAAGAATGAACAGGAAATGAAAAGAGCAGTTCATCTGGGAAGAGCACCCGAGGACAGGGAAACTTTCTGCTCTGTGAATTTTTACCACATATGTGTATTAGCCTGTTAGAAAAAATAAGCCCTAGAATAGGCAAATTCATAGAGACAGAAAGTAGAATAGAGGTTACCAGGGGTTTCAGGGTGGAGAAGACGTGGTTATTCTTTCACAGATGCAGAGTTTCTGTGGAGGCGATGAAAGAGTTCTGTAGTGGATAGTGGTGATGGGACTTAATGCCACTAACTGTATACTCAGAAGTGGTTGAAAGGGGCCGGGTGCGGTGGCTCACACCTGTAGTCCCAGCACTTCAGGAGGCTGAGGGAAGTGGATCACCTGAGTTCAGGAGTTTGAGACCAGCCTGGCCAACATGATGAAATCTCATCGCTACTAAAAATACAAAAATTATCTGGATGTGGTGATGGATGCCTGCAATCCCAGCTACTCAGGAGGCTAGGGCAGGAGAATTGCTTGAATGGGGGAGGTGGAGGTTGCAATGAGCCAAGATCATGCCACTGTACTCTAGCCTGGACGACGAGAGAGAGACTCCATCTAAAAAAAATAAGGTTGAAATGGCCAGGCACAGTGGTTCATGCCTATAATCCCAGTACTCAGGGATGCCAAGCCAGGAGGACCACTTGAGCCTAGGAATTTGAGACCAACTTGGGAAAGATGGTGAGACTCTGTCTCTACAAAATTTTTTAGATTAGCTGGGTGCAGTGGTCTGCAGCTTGTGGTCCCAGCTACTTGGGAACTGAGGCAGGAGGACTGCTTGAGCCTAGGAGGTTGAGGTTGCAGTGAATCATGTTCTCACCACTGCACTCCAGTCTGGGCAACACAGTGAGACTCTGTCTCAAAAAAAAGAAAAAGAAAAAGGAAAAAGAAATGACCAAGTACAGTGGCTCACGCCTATAATCCCAGCACACTGGGAAGCCGAAGTGGGAGGATCACTTGAGGCCAGGAGTTCAAGACCAGCTGGGCAACACAGTGAGACCACATCACTACAAAAAGGAAAAAAGATCTTAGCGGGGTATGGTAGCATGCACCCGCAGTCCCAGCTACTCAGGAGGAGGCGGGAGGATCCCTTAAACCAGGGAGACTGAAGCTGCAGTAAGCCATCAGTGTGCCACTGTATACCAGCCTGGGTGACAGAGCAAGACTCTATATCAAAAAAAAAAGATGATTGGAATGGTATATCTTAGGTTATGTCTTTTTACCACAATAAAAAGAGCAGGAAAAAAATAAGCTCACAATAAAAAAATTTTAATTGCAGCATTTGAAGAATAATTACTTAAGACTGTCACTTTCCGAATCCCAGGCCCCTTCTTCTTATTAATTTATTTTCATTTTTAAGAGACAGGGTCTTGCTATGTTGCCCAGGCTGGCCTCAAATCATCCTCCTGGCTCAGTCTCTGGAGTAGTTGGGTCTAGAATTCCAGGCACGTGGCACTGGGCCCAGCCCCTGAGTCCTAACTATGATGTTCCAGGGAGGGAGGGTGGGAGCTGGGAGTCAAGACCCCACAGGAGGGGAGCCGTCACTTCCAGTCCTCTCACAAGGTGCAGATGACAGCTTCTGAGGTCCTGACTTAGATGAGCGCTAACTCCCCACTGGTTGGGTGGCCTGGGGTCCCTGCACTTCCCCAGCCCCCACCCTCCTTTCTGCCACAGGTCTCCTCCCTGGCCTCAGGACTTGGAGGCTGCACCCCTCTGGACCTCTGGATATAAGACCTTTGATGAGGTGGCCCCTCCCACCATATCGTCCAGCCTGGCCCTCTTCTACCCCTTGGCAGTGCAGCCCCCCCACATCTGAGGCTCTGCCCACCCCAACATGCCCAGCCCTCACTGAAACACCCTCCGTGATATCTCAATGCCTTTGCCGGCCAATGTGGCCCCAGCCCCCAGCTGCCCCACCAATGGCTTCACTTCAGCCCGTTTTCCACAGCCACACCCAGGCCACACTGCTTCCTCCCTAAATCACAACTGCAGCCCATTCTAGAGTGCAGGGGGAAGCACTTGGTCCTCAGGGGTGAGGAGCAACCCTGCCCCCTCTCCCGCCTGTTCCCTAGGCCTGCCCCGAACCCTCTGGGGCTCCCAGGGCTTAGGAAACAGTTCAAAGACCATTAGCTCCAAGGAAAACCCCAGCTGGCATTCCTTCACTTTCATTACTTATGAATCAGCTTCCCAACTGGAAC